ATCTCTATACATTGACTTATGCTAGTGTCTCTGTATGTCTTATCTCTATACATTGACTTATGCTAGTGTTTCTGTGTCTTATCTCTGTACATTGACCTATGTTGATGTCTCTGTGTCATATCTCTATACATTGACCTATGCTGGCGTCTATACGTAGTAGCTATATTGGTTGACTAACCCTGCATATCTCATCATCATAATTTTGTATGATCTTACAGACTTTCTTGTGTCAGTTCTACATATAGCTCTTCTCTTATGTCTTCTGTATATATAAACATGTGTTTCTTTCTATATAGGTCTTTTTTCTTGCTTCAAATCAAGGTACATGCTTTTTTGGATGCATTCACATATTTCACATTTGAATTTTTTACAGGAGAAGAAGCAGGAGAAAACAAAATATGTTTTAACCTACAGGAGCATGACAAAAAATAGATACATTCAATTCCCTATATATTATGGCGAGTTGTTCTGGTCTTGATGTAAAACAATTCATAGTAATAATAGCTCACTATAAATGCCACCTGTCTATAAAGACTGCTTTTCTCAGCAATCTTTATGTATAAGTTTGACATGTGTAGGAATAAATGTTACATAAAAATATACCTGGGTAAATATACGTCTCTTAACTTGCATTTAGGTTTTTTTTGTACTGGGTAGTTTATAATCACTGAAGCATATCAGAGTCTTGTTCCACGCTGCCTCTTGCCATTAAATCCATTTTGTATTGATTCGTATTCAACAATACTTCAGCATACTGAAGCCAACAATACAATCTCAACATTGATACAGATCTGTACATGTTTAATTCATTTCAGTTTTTCTTTGTCAAAATAAAATGTTAATGTGGAACAAAAACTAGTGAAGACAGTTTACGGTATTTATTGGCCATCTGGTGATTCATTGATACATAACAGATAACACAGTGTATGTGGAAGTCAACAAACCGTTGCCGCAATTAATCAATATACAAAAAAAAAATGCGGAATCAGACTGTTTTGAAGGCCTGCTGTGTGTATTTTGACATAATGTTTAAATAAATAAAAGTTTATGTGAAAAATACTCCTGAGGACATAGGTTATGATAAATAAAGGATTAATATCTACTCCTAGATGCATATATAATGGATATATGGTATAGCACATTAACAGGAGGTTTGTTAGTGTGATATTGATGTACTATTATCTATTAGATCTATTAGGTGGTTCATGAAATCATCATAAGTATTTAGGGGAACGTTAAAGCTGAACCTAGTGAATAATACAGTTACCCTCACAGGAGAAGGTACACAAAAAATGATTCTGAAGAAAGTATGAGTGGTGGGGGGGGGGTTGCTATTGTAGGATTTTATGTTTTATTGATCTGATAACCTATATAAAATATGAATTTATAATGATTTAAGAGTTTGTAACACATACACTCATGTTTATTCATACAGCATACAGTTATGATCAATAGGTAGGTTTGCTGCTCCATGAATACATTCATGTACAGGTATATTAGACAAGGCTATGTAGTATTGTTTCATTCATGGGGTCTTTGTGTTAGTGTTCATTGATGTAAAACATTTTGTTTCATTTACTGTAATAAGGTGGAAATAATAATAGCGATTTTTTTTATAAACTTGGCAAAATAATGCTGATATTTTCTTAAATTGGGACTTTTTGACCGTAACATAGCAAAAAGAAATAATAAAAAAATAATAAACACTGAATCCTACTTAAAGGCATTTATAGATGACATTATTCATTCATTCATGAATACATCTATACACATTAACAATCAAGGAGATATAATGCTCATTGACACTTTGTCAACAGATTGCACGCTTTGTGTTGGTGTTTCATTCACACAGGTATATACACATACTATAGTAATTGTTTCATTCATACATTGTACAGGTGTATACATGGTCTATTGTATGTTAGTTCACAGACAAGTTTCATTCATGAATACTTGTATATTGTTGATATATGCCTTCAGTATGGTACATTGATATATATATATTTATATAAAGAATACAGTACAGAGTTTGTATTAGAACGTTGACTTCCTGTGTCATTGAAAAATATATCAAAACAACACAATGATTGAACAATATTATAACAGTAAGGTATGTTCAGGTATATTTAACATTGTAGGGAAATGTCTTTACATTGTATACCATTGATCTTAATTAATATATTCTGTGATTAATACTGGGTTTTATATATCAGGCAACAAATGAAGAGGAAGTTTTGATATTCAGACTTTCATCTAAACATGGTGTATCCAAAATAACGTATATTGGCATATATTTAACATAAAGATGTTTAATTAGTTGGGAAGGTACCCTATTTTAAGATTTTGTTTATTACAAGTACTATATTTTTTTGCTTATCTTTAACAAAATCTTTTAAAACTTCCTCATGTTTTGCTTTGTTATCAATAATACTATTTTCTGATAGATGTATTGATTATTTCCAGTGATTTTATTAAAGAAAAGATCTATATTAAATATAAAACAGATTGGACAACTGACGAAATTTTTCTTAGAAAAAAAATATGAAAATTTCATTGAAATTTTTTGGTTAAGGAGCTTTATTTTCCATGTCAGGTTTATGCAGAAGTGATTGGTCTCCTTTTAGACTTGGTATATTGTACAGATATATAATGCTAACAGTGTGTTACAGATTCCGTGATACACTATTGACAAAATTATATACATTTCTCTATGTGTTTTTTTAGTCAACAGATCTAGTGTTTCATTGATAAATACTTCCACTATGTTGTTCAGTCAGTAGATAAGAGGCTTGCTGGTTAGGTATAACACATTTACCCTGTAATATACCGTAGTTATCCTACAAAAACCCAGTGGGCAAACACATCAGACATAAAACAGCTAGGACAATAACATTGGTGATACATGGGCGGGCTTATTACAAGGTATTTGCTTATTGTTACATAAGTGAGGATTGGCTCGTAATGTTATATATGTATCCTTATGAAACTTAGTAAACCATGTGTACTGATTTAGTAGATAGTGATAACAATATACATAGATAATGATTAACAAGATGAATATTCTATTGTGTGTGATTTAACTGCATGTTTAAAATTATATAGACTATGTAATATTCACTGGCCAGCTGGTGTTTCTCAATAAAGACTAAACTACGTCTAGCTTTCTAGTCATTCAAGCATATACAGAATGTATCATGTAGGTACATGTAAGATTGGAATAGGTTAACTGTCAGTATCACAACTCATTCTTTCCCTTCATTTGGTTCCCTTAGCCCAATGTGTCAGAAACAACTTAATACTGTTGTATGTCAAGTCCTTTGTGCATTTATAACTACACTTTCTGTTTAAACTTTGTCCTTAACCTTTCGTTTACCATGTGTTTGACACCCCCTTACTCCAATAAAGTGGTAAAATCCCAAACACAAAGGAACAGCCTGTGGTTCTGTTTTTATTTGAGTTTCATATCCATAAAAAAAAATTCTATTTAAAAGAAAAATATAGCCAAAGATACATTTGTAATATAGATGTATACCTATATATGTATGTATATATTCAATGTAAAAATCACTCTAATAACATTACATACTACACCATCTTCAGAAAGTTGCCTTGTCTTTGATGACAATTATGTGTATGAGTTTTGTTGTCATATTTTTTACCCCAAAAGTATATAATCCAAATCACTGCTCTATAAATGTTAAAAAAAACTGTGTTCTTTTTCTGACTGATCATCATTGAATATGATAAGGAAACGCTCACTTTTCTGAACAAGGAAGCAGTTATAAGTGAGTACTTGACAGATACATTGTGATTCAATGTAACATGATGTTGTTGTATAGCACGGAGTTCTTCCTCCCACACCACATTCCACTACCACAACACTGTTATACACCACACCACTAATCTACCAAACAGGGACAACATATTGTATTTGGCGTAATAAATACTCTTGTTGTAGTTGTCAATGAAAGTCTTGCATTTTTTACTCTGACCTCAATTTTATTTCATTGTGTCAGATAAGGAAGGGGCACCTTCAAGGATTTCAGAAAACATAAGAAAGAAAAATGCTTATGATAAAATTCTTTCTGATTTTAATTTTTAAAAAATCCATTATGATAGTATCCACTTAATGCTTGATGCCTTTATTTGGCTCTATATGGATTTTGTAGATACACATGAAGAAAGGAAACATGATATAAAAAGTATCATGATACTTATCATAGTCAGTCTCAGAAAATTGTCCATTGATGTAGGTCCGGGCAGTTCAACATTTTATACAGAAACAGCATATGTGTAGATTCTACAATGTTTTACAAGGTATACAACAGTATACTTGTGAGGCACTAATTGGATGTATGGTGCTGTAAGAATTGTTTCCTTTCAAGAGATTTTTCTTTGCTGTCTTTTATCATATCTGATATGTCATTTACAATCTTTGAATCTTTGTTTATTGCTGTTTCACTTGTTGTTTCAGATACAAAAATGGGTCTACCAGTGTGTGATAACGGGAAACTGGAGGTTTTAAGGAGGTGTTGAACTGTTGTGGAAGGAGGTGGCGAGTGTATCATAACTGATGTGATATAGTCTTGTATATGGCTCCAAAACATGTCCATAGTATGGATTCTAAGAGTAACACGTGAGATGTAGGGAGCTGGCTGTCGAAACAGCAGCAGTATTACTGTAGTAATTTGGAAGAGTATTTAATGGTACATTTGATTGGTCAATTTGTTAGCATTTAAAACACAGAAATCGTCACTACCTAATGTGTCACCATGGGGTGATCTGTGTTTGGTGGTGCTGGGATAGAGTGCACCAAATGACCATCATGGCAGTTATGGGTCCCAGCCAGGACATGGCTAGTATGCCATACACTTGTGACATTTGACCCCCAGTGCACTTGCTTATAAGATTGCAACATGTCTATTCTAAATTAAAAGTGCAAAGGATTTGATTACACTAATCAGCAGCGTTAATTGTGTTTTGACCAATCACTACCCAAAATGGCGAAAAAAGGCGAGGATCGAACTTTTAACATCAGTGTGATCGGACTGTCGGGTACAGAAAGAGACAAAGGTCCTGTTGGTGTTGGCAAATCATGTCTTTGTAACAGGTTCATCTCTTACGTAGCAGACAAGTACTTCTCGGACCACATCTCTGTACTAAGTCAAAGTGACTTTGCTGGACGCGTTATTAATAATGACCACTTCCTTTACTGGGGCGAGGTCACAAAGACTGATGACGGCAACAATTTTGTTTTCAATGTCATAGAACAGAGCGAGTTCATTGATGATGTATCGTTCCAGCCATTCAAGACGGGTCGGACTGACCCCTACTACAAACGTTGTGTGGCCACTAAGGTTCAGTCTGCTGAGAAGCTGATGTATATATGTAAAGACCAACTAGGTATGGTAAAAAAATACCCAGCAAAATTGTTAAAAGTGGAGTCCTGTAAAATCCTTACTCTCCAGAAAATTCTTCCCTGTTGGACTATTATTTTTCCGGGAACATTACATCAAATGATAAATTGTGGTGTTAAGGTCCAACACTCCGAGTGGGAGGATGAAAAAAACTTCCAAGTTATAACACATCAATGTAAATTAGATATACATTTATGATTAAACTTGCCCTGAAGTCTGATTATTGATTCACCATACCCAGAATATGGGGACTCCATTGATATATTGTAAATGTCTATCATTCAGTGAATATGCTTATACAAAGTAAAGATGTATGGGTAAATGTATTATAACACAGACTCATGGAAGATAAAGACATCAGAATGTAGAATGTTTACCTGATGCTGATGTGACATAACACCCTTACCTTGTATAAGCTGCCTGAGTTACATTATATACATCCTAGGTTGAATGGATCACTGCCAGAAGCTGTATAATTACTGTAATCTTCCAGTGAACTGATTTCAAGACAATACTTCAAATTTGATTGATATTACATAATTAGTTCTAGAATATTTATTGGTTTTAAAATCAATAATTAACTCCATTGAGAAGCATCTGGGGATTTTCTTTCTAGAATAACAGCTGTCCATTGGGAAATGATATAGTGCCCCAGGGTGGTTATAAAATTTTGTTTTGACTGACCTTGACCGTGCAGTAGTCATATGTAGAAAGATGAGTAAGGATTTATGAAAGCTGGTATATGCATAAATATATATAATGATATTCTTTTTTCTCTTTATAGGCATGGAAACAGACAGTGCTTATGAGCAGAAACTAATGCCAGAGGGCAAACTGAATATTGATGGTTTTATATGTTGTTTCGATGTTAGTCAAATTCAACAACGGACTCTAGAACAACAAGTAGAGTTTGTGACATTGTTATTAAATGGTGCAATAAAAACAAAGAAACCTGTTGTGATGGTGACAACAAAAACAGATGAGGCAAATGATCGTTATGTAAAAGAAGTGGAACGTCTTTTGTCAAAACGCGAGTACAAGAATAATATTCCTCTTGTGGGGACGTCGGCACACGAAAATGTCAATGTAGAGCAGGCTTTTTTGACACTTGCTCATATGATCGACAAAACTAAAACAAGACCAAAAATTGTTCAATTCTCCGAAGCTGTTCGACAGCGGAAGGAATTACTAGATGTGGCAACAGAGGCCTATTGTAGCCTGCTTCGCAACAACATTGGTGACCCAAAGGCTGTATGGGCACCGTCACGCAAGAAGTTAGAAAAGGAATCAGACTTTTTACATTATATTGAGCATTTTGGAACTGAATCTGCACGTAAACTGTTCAGACTACATATTAAACACCTGTGTGATGATCAAATACGCAGACGAGAGAGTCACTATCTCCAACAATTACCTGATGTCCTCCAGCACTTCCTCCCAGACCTCAACACCATCACGGAAAGGTCAGAGGTTCTAGCCTGACAAATAACAGGGTTCAGGGGCATCAGTTAAATGTCTTTGGGTCATAGATGTATGTTCCAGACAAAGGTTTGGGACAAGAAGTCAAGTGTAGGGGGGCTGGAAGTCAAGTGTTAGGACAAACAGTCAAGAGTAAGAGGCATTCATTCAAATGTTAAGGGCAAGCAGTCAAGTGTTCGTGGCAAGTAGCCAAATGTTAGGGACTAGAGGTCAAGTGTTTGGGGCAAGCAGTCAAGCGTGAGGGACAAGCAGCCAAGTATTAGGGGCAGGCAGTCAGGTGTCAAGGACAAGCAGTCAGGTGTTAGGGGCAAGCAGTCAAGTGTTAGGGGCAAGCAGTCAAGTGTTCGGGGCAAGCAGTTAAGTGTTGGGGGCAAGCAGCCAAGTGTTGGGGGCAAGCAGTCAAGTGTTAGGGGCAAGCAGTCAAGTTTTGGGGGCAAGCAGCCAAGTGTTAGGGGCAAGCAATCAAGTGTTAGGGACAAGCAGTCAGGTGTTAGGGACAAGCAGCCAAGTGTTTGGGTCAACAATCCATCAAAGACTTTTTCAATATACTATTGTACAATAAGCTCACTCCTGCAAATTGTATCAAGAGATAATTTGTAAATGGAAGATAAATAGAAAGTGCTGAATATTTTTCCTTGAATTTGTCTCACTGCTGTATGGTAAGAAATATGATTCCATTACATAATACCCTAAATATGTGTTCTTACAATACTTAATTTGTTGAGAATTGATATCATATTTCAGTTGGACTTCCTGTCAACGGATGATCCGACAACACCCAGATTTTGAAGAGTATTTTGTGGAGGTATGCTATGAGAATGACAGTTGGAAAACGACTCCTCATTTTGTTGATAACTATCAGGAGACACGCATCCCATTTGATCTCCTGTCCTCCTGTGATGCTGAGACGTGCTTCCGCAATCATTTCAACGCCCTGCAAGCCCAACACAGGAAACTTCAGTATGTACACAGGAAACTTCAGTATGTACTGTGAATGTGGTGTAGTGTCTTGGACAAGGAACACATCTACATAATATATTAGTTCCAAAAAATTAACTAAGAAAAACAATTATTTTATGTTGTATATGATATTAATTAGGCAGTTGAGAATTTATGTAAAATCAGCATTGATTTGGGTTTCATAGTACTTTTTTTTGTTGTAAATATGGCAAATTTCTGATTTAAAAAGATTGTTTAAAATTCTCATTTTCATCAGACCATTGCCAATACTGCTGTTTCCTGGCTGATTATTATTACATTCATCAGAAGCTTCATTCCTATATCTAAACATCCTCTCCTTTGCAGTTCATTATATTGTAATCATATTGAATGAACTTATTGTCAGTAAAATCTCATGCTATTTTTGCTAAAGGTTGAAGAGACAGTTTAAAAAATTATTGGAGGAGACTCCAGAAGTGTCGCCTGGAAAGTCATTGGAAGAGACATACCTTTCATTTTTGGGCAGAGACTGTTACATTGATCTCAAACCGTATGAACGTGAACAGGTGTATGATGCACACCAGCATGACCTTAAAACCGCTGCCCGTCAGGATTTTCAGGAACTGCTTTGGGAGAAGCTGGAGATATTCATTCACATGTCGAATACACCTAATACGATCACACAGGAAGACATCCGTACCATTACCAAGTATATAGAGGATGACCCTCGGTAAGTGTTAAAGACGTCTTAGTTTATAGAACAACATAATCAAATGTCTGTAATCCTGCCACCTTCAACCGCAGCTATTAGCGTCCAGATTGTGAGATGACAGTGCAATGCATTATTGATACATGTATGAATACTCAGATTTTTGAGCAACAAGCTTATTGATATCTATACGTATTGGAATAGGAAAGAAAATTTTATTGAAAATACCTTGTTTTTGTTGTGAAAACCAGAATACTAGTGGCTGGATCAATAAGGCTTACATTTATAACTACAGTATCTTTATCAATAACCTTAGGCCAGTGGTTTACCAAAGATCAAGGTGGTGATCTTAATGTTGGCCTGGTGACTGCAGGGCAATGTGGTGACCTGAAATTAGTGTGATGATCCTACTGTAAGCCTTAGTGTGCAATTTACTTTCCTAATTGAAGTAAAATTGTGAAAATTATGAGACTTCTCAGCCTCAAACACCCTACAACAAGCTTGCCTTCAAACATCCTATGACAAGCTTACCTTCAAACACCCTACGACAAGCTTACCTTTCATGATCAAATTAGCAGCTTGGAATGGGAGTAAGTACAGGGCTTAAATGGAGGTTTCATTTTACAATAGTCGTTCAAACTTAACAGAAGTAAATTAATTCAGACTTTGTTATTACTGTTAGATTAGGAAGAAATACTTAGCTTTTCATTTAACAGACCCCTGTAAGCTTGATCACAGACTTTAGTGGTGACACGACTTCACTGTTTTATGTTAAAATATATCATTTTACTTGCTCCCAATTACTTTCTGTAAGTAGAATTGATACATGCAATCATCAGAATCCTATTGTACACTCTAGATATCGTGTGATGGATCGCCTGAACGAGGAAAGGACGGCAATCCTCCTTAATCTGCTAGGGTTTATGGAGTGTCCATCACGAGACAGGTGCTACTTCCAACATACATGTGCAGAAGTAAAATTACAAAATATCTTTGAGGGACGCATTTTCAGGTGAGGTCAATTTTATCAACTTTCATATTTATGATTTTTCAAGGGCAAAAAAACACTTCTAAAAGGATCTTCTGTCTGTGTAGGCTTTTGTTACTCTTCAGTCAATGATTGTTTCCATCAGATCATCATAATTCATTGACCTTCAGTCAACAGAAGTTGTTCTTTATCATCAAAGGAAGGCCTCAGAGTGTCTTCCTGATGATGTCATCCCATTGTTTAAAGAAATATGTGGGTATTTTCCTAGTTTAATTGAAAATTTCACAAAATGGAAACCACTGAACAACTGTTCATAGGAAAATGTGGACTGTCCTGTATAAATTTTTGTCAAACATAGATACCTGTACAAGGAATTTGTATGGTAGACACGTATAAGCCAGTTTAATATTAAATGGTATCATAGTTATAGCTATATATCCTGTTTCTTATATTTATTAGAAGGTATGGTAGTTGTGACGTTTTATAGCCTGTTTCATATTGGATGGTTTCAAAGTTTTTATTTTATATAGCCTGTTTCATATTAGATTTAGTCATGCTTATTAAGACTTTGTATCCCCAGATCTGAGCCGCCCTCTATATCTGAAGGTGAGGGCTCAATGAAGGCCCTAAATTTGGTGCTGCTAGGCAAGGCTGGTCTAGCTGAAGAACTATGTAAAGAAATCCGGGTAAGTTCAGTCATACATTTAATAACATATGGGTAAGTGGACCCTGTGTAATGAAAACTCCCAGTTTAAGGAAATCTTGGTAAGTGAACCCTGTGTAATGAAAATTTTGATAAGTGACACTGTGTAAAGAAATCTTGGTAAGTGAAATCTTGGTAAGTTTATCCTGTGTAAAGAAATCTTGGTGTATGACCTCTGTGTAAAGAAATATTGGTTAGCTGAAAACATTTAGAAAAAGCTCAACCAGCGTAGAATCCAAAGAAAAATCAGAATATGAAAATTGAAATCCTTGACATAAAAATGAAATGTGGTGAAGAACTGTTGTTGCTAAATTTACAAGACTAATTGGTTTTAACATATTATTTTCTTTCTTGCAAAACTTGACTAGATTTTATTACACATCTAGACTTAATTGTCAGTCGTACACATCAGTTTAGTTTGATGTGATATATCACATATTAGGGTCAACAACTGTCCAATTTTGATTGTTTTTTTTTATTTCAATAACTTACATTAAAATATTTGTATTTCAACCCAATTTCATACACAACATCTCTTACCATGATCTAGTACCCATGAACAATTATACATTCACGCAAGTCTTTACCACTATGTTTACACAAATCTCAACATTGGGCATGACTAAGGTATCATCCTAAAGATGGGAGATGTATAGTTAACAAAATGGCCTTTAACATTACATCCTATTTTTATACATTGATTCTTTATCTTTTCAGAATATGTGCAATCAAGATATGTTTCCTTATCGAAGTGCTGTGTATAGTTTAGATTATAGACCAATAGAAGAGGATGTTAGATTAGAATACAATTCATTTGCTACTGCAAATTTTATACCACATGGTAAGTACGTGACTTATCACTGACTTTAATATGAATTTTTTCCACTTTAATTCTGGGATATATCATTGAGGTTTCTTTTTTTTAATTTTTCTCTGAAATCTGTTTTTTTAAACAACTTTGACATGTCTTTAATTCGTTTTAATCATTCACATATTTGATAACACTTACAATTGGGTCAAGCAATCTTCTGTGCTGAACTAGTACATGCTTCTTTGGTAATAGAATTTTTAACTTGGTTAGAATTGTTATACAATCAATTTAAACTGGTAAGAATTGTTATATAAGCAATTTAACTTGGTTAGAATTGTTATACAATCAATTTAAACTGGTAAGAATTGTTATATAAGCAATTTAACTTGGTTAGAATTGTTATACAATCAATTTAAACTGGTAAGAATTGTTATATAAACAATTTAACTTAGTTAGAATTGTTATACAAGCAAGTTAACTTGGTTAGAATTGTTATACCAGCAATTTAACTTGGTTAGAATTGTTATACAAGCAATTTAACTTGGTTAGAATTGTTATACAATCAATTTAATTTGGTAAGAATTGTTATACAAGCAATTTAATTTGATTTCATTTCTGATTGTAGAATACTTATGTAATGATTTTGTAGGGTGTCTTTGTGTGTATAATTCACGAGAGTCCCTGGAATATGTGCGATCTAGCTTGGAGACAACATTGCTGGAAGATCTGCAGCGTGATGAAAACCAAACATTACATGGTGTACCGATCATCATTCTACATGCCTTTAATCCTGACCTGACAGAGAAGGAGCATATCATTCTCTCTCACAGGGGACAGGAGCTGGCACGCAGGTCAGGGCACTTTTATCAGTTAACAGTGTTATAATTCATATTATCTCAGTACATCTCTATGACTGTATGATATGATTTAGCAGTATGTGACCTCTCTTAGTGGTGTTGAAAATATTATGTTACATTTTTGCACTTTCTGTCACTGGTTGTATGATTAGTTTATTTACAACATGGTTTTTTGACTAAGCATGCTATTTAATCAGCTGACCTCCTGCTGAATGACTGCCTGTCTGATCTCTATTGTGTATATAATAATTACTATTTGTATATTAAAGGTCAGATTTCAAACAAATAAGTAAAGAAATATGTACAAAAATGTCACTTACTGACTTAGGTATTTTAGTCAATAGTGTAAAATTCTTAAGTTGAGAAAATCAAATTATCAGACTATCAGGAAAAAAGTATAAATTTTTATATACATAATTATTTGATAGGTTAGACAAAAGACACCTAAGTGAATATATCATTTTAACACAAATTTAGAATTAGAAATGATAGAGCCAGGAATGAATTAAACAGCACTTTAAAGTTTACAATTTCAGTTGCTATTATATTATACAGTAGATTCTTCATCAAAAAGAAAGAAAATGTTGCCTTTTAGAATGGAAACAAAAGTTTCTTCTTTGGTGTAGAAATTTCTAAATTTTTCATCTTTTTATTATTTGTTGTTTCAGTTTGCGATGTGAGTTTAAAGACATTCCAGCTGAAGATGACATAGAAGATCATGGTTTGAGATTTTCACCTGTACAGATAGAGGAGTCGCTGATAATGGTGGTTCGTGGCTCAGGGCAGGGTAGTTTATCCCGTCCATGCTCTGAGGACCTAGAGCCTGACCTACGGTAAGTCTGATGTTATGTTGAAATCTATTAGTTGTCTAGTTTCTTTCTAATTTAGACAGATAACTTTTAATGATTGAATATAAAATTAATTGGAATCTCGAATTAAATTTGTTGTAAGGGAAATTAAGTGACATGAAAATGGTGATATTTAAGGTGATCTTTTCCTTTTTAACTATCATTTATAAATATTTGAAATTTTATAAAACAGGTTTTGTAATTATCATAGGAAAGCACTTCAACACTAATGTTACTATAAATGTCCTTTATATAAGGTTGGACAATAACTATAGTCTTCATAACAAAGCTTGAAAATCCAGTCAAGATCTAGATTGAATTTGTGTAGAAGAAAAATATATATATATTAAAAAAAATCTTAAAGTCTTGACAATTTGAGCTATATGATTTCACATTCGGTCAATTCAAATACATATATAGGTGTATTAAGGCCTTGTTTATTGCTCCAACACAGATTATCTATTAACCTGTATCTTAACTCCAGTCTGGGGTCAACACAGATTATCTATTAACCTGTATCTTAACTCCAGTCTGGGGTCAATATTCATTCAGTAAGGTTATGACCAAATCAGTGTAGTATATTTTCAGTTTTTGCCTTGACTTACAGCTGAAAAAAGTCTTTTTCTATTAGCCAAATTGTGTGTTATTTCTCCCCCACCCCACCCCCTTCCTTCCTCCCAATTTTTCAGATAATCCTACTGTATTTTTCCAATAATGATGCTACAAACTGCTGTGAAATCAAGAAAAAAAAAAACACTGATTGTTGAATATCTTATTACTACTATTACTATATTTATCGAGAAATACACACAAGTCTGATTTTTCTGTCCATCCATGAATATTGTTCTTCAATGTATCTTTAAACAAATGTTATTTGATAAAAACACTATAATCCACTTTATGCCCTTGTAGCTCTAATTCACTTGTATATGTATTGTTTTTATTGAAAGGATTGGGATGTGTCTGATGTGTGGTGACCCATTCCATTGTGAGATCCCCCTTGGGCCCCTGCTGAACAGTAACCCCACCCAGATTGACATTGATCCACAAAGCTCTATGTTTACCATTAACATGGAGACCAATGTTGACAACAGTCCAGATTTTTCCAAACAGAAGATTGAGATATGTATCTCTTCCTATCACAACTTTGTGTCCAAAATGTTTAAGGATGATGAAGACTACCACATGTTCCATGGCTTCATATTAGTATTTTCCACTAAAAGAAAGGCATCTTATGCAACAATGAAGTAAGTAGTGGCTTTCAAAAGTTTTTTGCTCAAATTCTGGATTCTTTCTCCTTTTTACGCTTATTTCAGTCTCGAAAATTATTTAAATGAGCTTAACTGGAACCACTCAGACTGAATGAAAAAAAAATGTGAAAATCTCAGATTATCTCCGACTGAGAAATGAAATCATGACAGATGGTAATATTAATTTCAATCTGCCTGTGAATCATGTACATCTGTATATAGAAATTACCTACATACAGGAAAAATACCAGTATATACCATTCATATATAGATGTAAGACTGTCAACAAATGGACTTGTTGTTATGGATATACAGTGAAATATGAATTGCATATATTTTTTAATATAGTTTGTAGATGTAGGAAATATTCAGACGTTTTGACACAATAACTTAAGGTTCAATAAATGATCACAAAGTCAACCTTCCTTTAGTCCAATATTTACATTATTTTTGTGGAAATTCATTGAATTGTCATACCATTTGTTCTCTCTTCAGGGCATTTGCAGAAAGTTTGCGAAATCAGATGCAGGTGCTACCAATTCTGATCTTAGCGGTAACAGATAGCGGTGGGTCAGCTATCTTCTTCAAGGACGAGCTTAGTCAAAATCTCATTTCTGAAGGCAACCAATTGGCTGATTTTCTTGGTGGGGAATTCAAGATGACTACTGCTAATTTCCAACAGCAGAGTAAGCAATGTAGACCATTTTGTCTGCAGTGATGTATTTTGGATCAAAGATACCTGACCAGTGTGCAAGATATTTTAGCAGTGTGAAAGAACCTACGCAGTATTTTATTTCATTTTGCTTTTAATGCCAAGAACAAAAATTTTCCTGATTTTGTTGTATGAAGAAGGAAGAAAACTGCTCAAAATTGAATGAATGAATTTAATAGATGATTGTGTTAAAGGCACATGAGTTGAAAGCACCTTTTAAGTTTCACTTGTCACCTTGGAAGTTGATATTGTAGATGCTACAATTTTGTATGTTTTTAAGTGATATTAACAATGGAATAGAATTCTTCCTTAAATTAGGGAAGTTAAACAGATCCACTGATAAACCCTAAATCTGGATTATACTCATTGTAATTGTTAAATTCATCATTGTTCTATCTTTTTATTTCCCTGTTGTATTTCAACTTCCATTGTTAGAACTGACTGTTGATATGATTCAGATGAATTTCTTTGTATTTCAGCTCCGATATACATCCCATTCTTTAAGGAGGCATGGTTTAAGCGTGAAGTTGTGTCCGAGTCCTACTACAGTGTACCTAGCAGTCCCCCTGCTTACGGTCAAGCCTGTCATTCCATTGACCCCAAGCGTCCCCCGGCCCCACTCCCCCGTCAATTTGAAATCTATCCCACAACCAAGAGCAGTACTAGTAACAGGTAAATTAAAACTCTGTTCTGAAAATCAGTGGCCTTAAATTACCTACATGTGATCATTATATTCCTCAAAAAAAAAGCTGAAAATCTATGTAGTGTTTAAAAAACAAACTTGAGTTTGTTTAAAGACCAAATACGGTAGTCTAAGCAATGTGACTATAATAGAATACTTTCACATAATGAAATTTGGAAAATATTTTCAACCAACCATGATCAGCGTGCTTTTCGTTTGGCATTAAATTGTCTGTCCACCTGTCATTAAACAATTACTCTTATTGCTGTTTTGTTTGTCATCCAATCGTCTGTCCATCTGTCTTCAAACAATTACTCTTATTGCTGTTTGTCATCCAATTGTCTGTCTGTCCATCCATCTTTAAACTATTGTTCTTATTGCTGTTTCTTGAGACCTACTAGATGAATAATCCTAAATTTCATGTATATGTTCCTCTTGGTCCCAAGTTATGAATTGGTCATTTTGGGACTAATTGTTAAAACCAAATGGCTAACAGGTGGCCATCTTGGATTTTGATAGTTACAGTTTGTTATCACTATTTTCACTACATACAGGATGAGTCAAATTCATATGCATTTTGCATCCCGTTAGTGGATTGACCATTTTGGGTCTCAGAAAAGCAAAAAGGCTTCCAGACAACCATCTTGGATTTTCAATTGTTTGCTTGTTATTGCTAACCAACTGCACTACAACAAGACCACCACCTCAGAATATCTCTGGCTGTTTATGAGTGAAAAACAAAGCAAATATTTGCAATTTTTTTATACAATTCTGAATGGAAAATTCTCAGATTTCATATTTCGATTCCCCTTGGTCCATGGTTGTGCAAATTTTGTTAATTGGACGAGTTTGAAAAGTTAAAGTATGATAAAGAATTAAAATCATTCTGATCCATTAACTATCAAGTGAAATAGTTAAATACACTGGTTATTGTTTGATATAAAGTTTGACTTTAATTTTGCTTTCAGCCAAAGTACAGAAGAGTCTGAACCTATATATGACCAACCTAACAACTTGCGCGGGGGGCCAACATCTGACAGTGAACCAGAGCGCCCTTCCTCGGCATCCCCGCCCCCACGTACAGAAAGCCCATGTCCACCCCCATACCAATTGAAAAACGGTGAACAGTTGGTTCGTCCCAGTATGATTCGTCAGCAGCAGGGATACCATGCAGGTATGAATTTAGGAGTACTTCATTTTCTAAAGGAATGTGTAGTGTGGACTGGTTTTGGTACTGGAATATTTTATCCTTATTTAATTGTAGCTTGTATCTGAATTCAGTATCATGATAATTTTGAAAGTATTACAGAGAGAAAACTTAAATGCAACCAAGAAATATATGTATAGGGTCCTGTCTTAAAGTATATTAATTACATTGTTACATAGACTTTTAATACAGAACTTATTGTTTGCTGAAGTTATAGTTTCCAGTACTGTAAATCACTTAGGTTCAGCTAATACTTTATTTTGAAAACTTACCTCTTCAGACCTATTTGTGAATACATGATTTCACATATGCTGATCTAGAAATGACCTTAAATTCACCGATGATCACTCATTAATGGCATAGGTCCTTGAAGACTGATATTGGTTACCGAAACAACATGGATCCCATCAAGAGTTAACCAAGTAATGGATAAATACAAGGGATTGGAATTCGGGAGTAACTCTCCATTATGTATTGGGGCAGAAATAAATCCTGTGCGAAATGTAAATGATTGACAGATTTGAGAAATTCATTCTGGTTGTAGAAATGAAGAAAGCTTCAGAATAAATTACAATAACTAGGTAGTTTAATTAAAAAAAAAAAAAAAAAGAATTCGGGAGTGACTCTCCATTATGTATTGGGGCAGAAATAAATCCTGTGCGAAATGTAAATGATTGACAGATTAGAGAAATTCATTCTGGTTGTAGAAATGAAGAAAGCTTCAGAATAAATTACAATAACTAGGTAGATTAATTTAAAAAAAAAAAAAAAAATGGAGTGTTAACATTATAAAATTTCTCAAAAGGTACACACATGACTTATATAGAGTTTAAATGCTTCTATCATAAACACTTCATACAATATCTGTTGATAGTTGTGCATGGTGAAAAAGTCCTAGCTGTTAGCATGGGAGGCATGATAAAATCAGGGGAACGTTAGAATGGTGAAACAATATTATACAGGTTACATCATGTCTTCGTTATATCTACTCATAATCATGTAACCAAACTCTCAAATTTCTTCATATTTGGATCGTGTATATACTCCTCTAGGATGTTAAAGAAATTTAAATATCTGCTTTTTTGTGATGATATATATGGATGTTATTAGTAAGATCTTGCATTTTGATTTTATCTTTTAACATTGTATAAGATAAAGTTTTTTGATACATATTGTACATGAATGATTTTATCTTGTTATAAATCTTTCAATATTGTTGATTTGTATTGGTTTGGATGGATTTCATTCCTTTCTGTTTAACTTAATATTTTTGTTCTGGTGTCATATTGAAGGATTGTCTGTCTCTGAAATCTCTCGTCCGTCATCTATCCCATATTCTACTTCTACACCTGGCACCAGTGTTACACAGTACTAGTGAACTGAAATTGTATTGTATCCATGTCCAACACAGTGAAAAGATACTTAGTTTTAGGCTATGTGTGTAACAGTGTATCAATGAGATTAGACTTCAAACTAGATACATTGGACCAGATTTGAGGGTTACACTATAAAACATAACTGGGCCTTGAATGGCTAAGGATGGGATTACATAGGTAGTAATATTTTTGGTAGTCTCCTACATTACGAGGAGAAGTTAAACCATGTGCACCAATCAGGGAACAAAAGTATTATGGATTCACGTGTATAGACAACGACACAAGATATTGGTCCAGGACAGAAAGGAAAAGTATGTTGAATGATTTTTTAAAATGACTTCTTCCTATAATGGCCTCCTCAATGGATATGATATTTCTATTTTTGATAGAAAATAGTTTCTATATCTGCCCAAATCTTCTCCATTCAGATGCTCAAAAGGAATTATATCGCAAATCTTGTCCTGTTCTGGAACGAGAGCTCAAACTCACCAGCACAATGAGTCTGGAACAGGCAGATAGTGACAGAGAGCCTCATTATCAGTTCAGGAAGTCGTATAGTATGAAACTTGCAGTGAAGGAAGAAGATGAAGGTGATTGGTGGATATATCATGGAATGAAAAATAGATTATTGGCTTCTGTGATTATTTATTTTGTTAGCTTTTTGTGATTGGTCCAGAAGATCCTAGAATTCCGCTTCCATCATTTACAGATTCTTTTTTGCCTCAGATTTTATTTCCAGCAGATTCCAGATATTATTTCCTACATCCTCCCTTCACATATTTAAGCACTTCAGTGACTCTGCACATACATATTCAATGTGAACCATTCTTTGACTATTATTTTTCTGTAATGGTTTTTTTTGTTAGATCACTACTTATTTTTCTTTCATTTTTGATTTGCGCTTTTTAGATCTAGTAATTTGTTGAGCATCCACTGTTGATACTGACTAGTACATGTATTTGATGTTGTGCCAGCATTGACATTGCTTTTTCTGAACCAGTTATCTCCCTTATGTTACTACTGTAACATATAAGCCATTAGATTATTAGTGATAAGATATCTCCCTTTATTATTTCTATTTTAAGTGAATACAGCTAGCTTTCCTGGCACTTAGTATGTCTATTGTCTATGTCTTTTAACCTTCAGAAATTTCATATACTTAAGTATAAAAAAAAATTGAACCTTTTACAAATAAAGTATAAGATTTTTGGAATTATACCAATTACCTGTCAACACTATGGGATCACGATCCGATACTTCATTTTATGAGATTCATACATTCATGTGAACACTATGACGTGTTGTATGTAAGATTTAAAGGCAGTATACATATATATTGACAGTAACTACAGTTACTAGATACTATTGAAAGAATCTTCATAAAAAATCCTTAAAATTGCTCACTATACACCTTGTTTATCATATACAATAATCGTTAGATGTAAGTAATATATTATTTCCTTTCCTTGCTGTGATATCATTGTTTTTTGTTGTCATCTGCTCTTTTTTTGTAAAAAAATATTTCTTTCTTTGTTGTTAGCTGAGCTCTGTATTGGTATTAAATCTTTTTTGTTGTCTTTATACTTATAATTTATGACTTGCATACATTGTAAATGTTTAGATAATTTCTACCTATCTTGTCACTAAGTTTTAATTAATGATGATTGTCCTATTTATTGCTGAAAATTTGATGTTATCATTTGAGAAAGAACCTTGATGATTAAGAAAATTCAGTTCCAAAACCAAAAATAATTGTTACACAATGTACTGATTAGAAAATTCAGCAAGATTACTTTATAAGGAGTTATCCAGGAGTGTAAAGCTTACCTGATGCCCAGGGCTACCAATTTTCAGCTTCAGCTAGTGGAAATTACAGGCCCTCAAGCCCTGGGATAGTGTAGAAAGATTTTTTCTCAGTAGACCCAAAAGAATTTCTGATCATCCCTGATCATAACATTTTAAGCATATACCATAAGAATTGCTTTCTTTAGTCATAAACAGGAATACCTCTATCAGGGATTAATTGTTTTACTGATATGCTGACCTTTAAGTTTTAATTACTTTGAAAAAGTTACAGTGTTCTATACGTTAAAAAATATACTTAGAAGGTAATGCTAATTGTCAAAAAAACATTCATTGATCATTAAATATGTACTTTTTATATGATATAAAAATCTTGGTGAAGAGATAAAAATCTTGGTGAAGAGCTAGTGTTCATCACTTCAAAAGTTTGCAAGAAGTGCACCGAAAAATCTTGTACACTTCTGAGTTACCTTCATCACTTGTGTCACAATTAAGAAAGATTTACCTGGCAAAACATCTCTTTACTTTTTGTATTGCTGCAGGGTTAGACACTAAACATCATCAAAGTGTGTCGAATGGTGTGTTAACAAACAATTGAAATATTGTTCAGTAGTAGAAATGTTGTTAGTATGTTTTTCCAGTATAGATATATATTGAATTAAACTGAAGTGTAGTGTTGTATTTAGTTGTTGATAATCCAAAAGTTATATAACAGTGATCTTGTATTTGTTGAATGTATCAATGTTTCTGTGATGTTGTAGACCATTTTATTTGGCATCCCATTATCAAGATGTTAGAATTCAAGACTTCGACTATGAACTTTAGGTCATTCCTGAGACATACACCCAATAAATTTCTCAATTTCTTATTCCAAACAAAATGTTGGCTCCATCTTTATTCTGTCTCTTCTTTACTCCCTATTTCTATACATTTGAAGGTGAAATGTTGATGCTGGAGATAAGTATTCTGTACCAGGTATCACTTGTAATAATGACAGTATGTATAAATGGATATATTGGTCTGTAACCTAGCAATGTATTGGGCTATAGCCTGACATTGCCTTGAATGATAATGTCTTTTTCTCTCCCCATCCTCCCATCAGCCTGGGCCATTAATGAACCGCGGAGACCACAGAAGAAGGCGAGCACATTCCCCTCTGATGCCAAATTAATCAATCCAGGCAACGGTGATTGTTTTAATTACAATGTCCATTGGAGTGTGTCATGGCTGATCTCTCTTCCTCAGATTATCCTGGTACAATCCATCCAGTAGAACGCGGTATTATAAAAAATGAAAGCTATTGAAAAATTTGTGATAATTAGAAATGTTTCTGGTGTATTACAAAGTAATCTGCTTAAAATTTTAGCTTCTGATGAAAGTTAATAATGGATAATTAATGCAAATTTCTTTCTTCTGAAAAAAAATCTGAAAATGGGACTTTTATACCTGTCTCAGTTTCATGTGAAGTGAGCAAACTTAAAAAGTGTAGGTTCTTATATTGTATGAGGTTTTTGTAGAAGAGAGATTGGAGGTGACACAGTATTATACAATATGTTAACACCTGCGGCCTACCCTGCATCGCTGTGTGGCTGGGTGCCTTTGTGTTGTTGCATTAACCGCAAGGTTAACTAGTATATATACTTGCCTTGTAGTCAAAAGATAATGCATGTACCTAGCTAACCGGTTAGAGATGCCTGCCTGTCCAATACAGTATTGGAGTGAATGGTAAATGTTTTGGAGGGAAAAGTCAGTCTTATGACATCGGATAATAATACCTCATTTGCACAAATTTCATTGCAACACAAAAACTTTCTGACATATCTTTTTGATGGGGTTGTAGGGGAAGGGGTACAAGTTGAGTTTGATTTATCTATGGAGATTTTATTAGAAGGAATGAAATGAAAAAAAATTCAAAATTTTATGTAAGAAAACATGAACTCCATGCCGTTAGAAATGATGTTAATCCTCTGTGCATTGGAATGTGGTTAGTGATGATGTACCAGACAAGTGCATGCCTAACATAACAAATTCTCTTGCAGCATATGGTATGTAATATGTATAATTCATTGTACTACTGTTGACTTTTCTGAATTAATAGGTGCAAATTTGCTTTGTTGTTTACAGTTTCTTTTTAACCATCGTCCTACACTTGACACATCTGTCGTGTCCTTGATGTTTTTAACTCTGCACCATATACAGTGATCTTACACAGACACTAAAATGTATCAACACTTTGTCCCTTTTCTGTCTACCTTGTCTACAGTGTTTCTGTCTATTCTTGTCATGTCCTTCATATGTTTTACTTTTTCATAATAGAAATGTATTCTCCTTTATAAATAATCCTGTGACTTTTTCATTATATAATCATGTGACCTTTCTACCCATTAATTATGACCTTTCCATTATACAATCATTTGATAACTCTTTAAGATGTCTGTTTCTATGACATTGTTGTGAGTTTTTGACCTTTTAACCTGTATGTACTTATGATGAATATGTCTTCAATGATTTAATCACACCTATGATATATCTTGTCATACACTTGCTACCTTTTTGTCCTAGTTCTTGATGAATAGGATACACCAATCACAAATTGTAGTCAGTACATCCACGACCTTAACCTATACCATTTTCAACTGAGTCATACCTCTTTAAGTCTGTAGCATCATGGATCTCTTTACCAGTTTCTTCATCAAGCCATTTCCATTATTTTTTATTTGCATAAAGATCTTTTATAAGATCAGGTTCATTCTTCTGTTGTGTGATTTCTAACTTTGCCTCTCATTTATCCACTATATATCATCATATCATTAATTGTGTTAATAAATTATGTGAATTTTATGTGGCATGTAAAGATTTATGTATGAGAGGGGGAAAAGAGAGTTCTCCTTTCTAATATAGGCTGCTGTTCAGAATATACTGGTATCATCTATGTCCACAGAGTGTTTTCAGATTTCAGTGATGATATCTTGTCTTTACTGTATATGAATTTTAACAGCATAAAAATATTTGTATACTGCTTTCTTGTATGTAACATTTTCTTACAGAGGCTTCTGAAAATTGTTTTGAAAAAGAAGAGAAATAGAAACTTAACCAATTATAGGGCTGAACAATTTTTTGCAATTCTATCAGTATTAAAAATATGCTGTCAAATTTCCAAAATTTGAGTACCAGTAAATAAAAGCAAATTCAAGAAAATGATTTTTATGAATCTGTGTAATAGATATCAGCAGCTGTCTATTAACTTTTCAGAGTATCTGTTAATGTTAGGGTACCTGTTAATGTTATGGTACCTGTTAATGTTAGGGAATCTGTTAAGGTTAGGGTACCTGTTAATGTTAGGGTACCTGTTAATGTTATGGTACCTGTTAAGGTTAGGGTACCTGTTAATGTTAGGATGCCTGTTAATGTTAGGGTACCTGTTAATGTTATGGTACCTGTTAATGTTAGGGTACCTGTTAATGTTGGGGTACCTGTTTATGTTGGGGTACCTGTTTATGTTAGGGTATCTGTTAATGTTGGGGTACCTGTTTATGTTAGGGTATCTGTTAATGTTGCGGTACCTGTTAATGTTGGGGTACCTTTAATGTTAGGATATCTGTTAATGTTACGGTATCTGTTAATGTTGGGGTACCTGTTAATGTTACGGTATCTGTTAATGTTGGGGTACCTGTTAATGTTGGGGTACCTGTTAATGTTGGGGTATCTGTTAATGTTACGGTATCTGTTAATGTTGGGGTACCTGTTAATGTTGGGGTACCTGTTAATGTTAGGGTACATTAAATGTTAGGGTACCTGTTAACATAAGGGTATCTGTTAATGTTGGGGTACCTGTTTATGTTAGGGTATCTGTTAATGTTGTGGTACCTGTTAATGTTGGGGTACCTTTAATGTTAGGATATCTGTTAATGTTACGGTATCTGTTAATGTTGGGGTACCTGTTAATGTTACGGTATCTGTTAATGTTGGGGTACCTGTTAATGTTGGGGTACCTGTTAATGTTGGGGTATCTGTTAATGTTACGGTATCTGTTAATGTTGGGGTACCTGTTAATGTTGGGGTACCTGTTAATGTTAGGGTACATTAAATGTTAGGGTACCTGTTAACATAAGGGTATCTGTTAATGTTGGGGTACCTGTTTATGTTAGGGTATCTGTTAATGTTGTGGTACCTGTTAATGTTGGGGTACCTTTAATGTTAGGATATCTGTTAATGTTACGGTATCTGTTAATGTTGGGGTACCTGTTAATGTTACGGTATCTGTTAATGTTGGGGTACCTGTTAATGTTGGGGTACCTGTTAATGTTGGGGTATCTGTTAATGTTACGGTATCTGTTAATGTTGGGGTACCTGTTAATGTTATGGTACCTGTTAAGGTTAGGGTACCTGTTAACATAAGGGTATCTGTTAATGTTGGGGTACCTGTTAATGTTGGGGTACCTGTTAATGTTAGGGTACATTTAATGTTAGGGTACCTGTTAACATAAGGGTATCTGTTAATGTTAGGGTATATGTTAATGTTAGGGTACTTGTTAATGTTGGGGTACCTGTTAATGTTGGGGTACCTGTTACTTCTGGGTTAATGTAACAACACATGATGATTATATACATACATTGACAATATACATAGAATTTATCATAAACAATAAAAGTTTGGGTCTAGTCACATGATAAGACAGTGATGTTAAACACAGTGTTATCATAAACAGTAAAATTTTGGGGCTAGACACATGATGAGACAGTGATGTTAAACACAGGATTGATCATAAACAGTAAAATTTTGTGTCTAGACACATGATAAGACAGTGATGTTAAACACAGTGTTATCATAAACAGTAAAATTTTGGGGCTAGACACATGATGAGACAGTGACGTTAAACACAGGATTGATCATAAACCGTAAAATTTTGTGTCTACACATGATGAGACAGTGACGTTAAACACAGGACTGTAAAATTTTGTGTCAAGACACATGATGAGACAGTGACGTTAAACACAGGATTGATCATAAACCGTAAAATTTTGTGTCTACACATGATGAGACAGTGACGTTAAACACAGGATTTATCATAAACTGTAAAATTTTGTGTCAAGACACATGATGAGACGTTGACATTAGACATTGATAATGGATATTATGAACATTTTTGATCTGTTGACATTTAAGTATTGTAGCCATGGCCTTTTAGACACTCACTGGTAGAGATGTCTGACACATATTGCACCAGTAGTGTTGCTAATATTGGCTAGTCATTCTGTAGTGGTATATCTACTATTTAGTGAAGTAGTGGGAATTATAGAATCAGCATGTAGCCTTTGCTCCTTCCAGGTCGACTGGATGATGATTCACGGAGAAGTTCAGAGGAAACGATTTGGAGGGAAAATGAAATCTATCATTCACGAAATCCACAGGTAAGATCTACAGAGAAATATTTCAGATATTATCTTTCAGTAATTTATGGTTAAATATGTGAATAGATTTTCATATGGGACAACCAGCATGAAGTTTGTATGCGATGATTAAGTGGATTAAGTGTCATCAAACACATAAAACTGTTTAAAATGAAGAGGTATCCTCGATAGATGTGTGATTATATGTTGCAGTTTGCTGGAAGAAAGCCGTCCAAGAATGCTATACAGGCTCCACTGGCCTTACCAGAACACATAGAGATCTCATCTGACTATGCTACTGTTAAGGTATAGTAAACACAAAGAAGTCAGCGGGACCTAATGAAATATTTGACTTATCCGATGGTTCTATTTAGCCGTGTTTCAATGAAGGGAAACATTGTGCAATGAAGATTGACTGTACATTCATCCGTTGTTGACTGGATACATGTCTCATAGCATAGGATGGCAGTAGTATATAAGTAATAAATAGATACAATAATATCGTTTATTTCAATAAACAGTTATAACTACGAATATGAAACAGAAAATGTAATGTGAAACACTTGCCATTGCAGCACACACAGATGAATATGCACCCACTCTTATACACATAATTTAGTGAAATTAATACCTAGATTAAAACAAATATCATGTTCACATTTATATCTTTACGAGTTGCAAGTCCCTTCAACATTATTTTAGAATAAAACAATAAATTCCTACTCGTGAACATTCTACATTGACATAACATTGATAGCACTGAGTTGGGTTGGGAAAGAGGAAGGCTGTGCACATAAAAATGTAAAAATGTTACGGTAAAAAGACTACAGTGTTTTTAATTTTAAGTTTGGTTGCCTAATTTACAAATACAAACCTTCACCTGTGCACTAGTATAAACGCAGCTCTGCTATGGTAAATTTAGGTAAAGCCTTGAGTTGCACTAGTATAAACGCAGCTCTGCTATGGTAAATTTAGGTAAAGCCTTGAGTTGCACTAGTATAAACGCAGCTCTGCTATGGTAAATTTAGGTAAAGCCTTGAGTTGCACTAGTATAAACGCAGCTCTGCTATGGTAAATTTAGGTAAAGCCTAGAGTTGCATTAATATAAACGCAGCTCTGCTATGGGAAATTAAGGTAAAGCCTAGAGTTAGACAAGAATTGCCCTAGACAGATATTTCTCTTCCTCCCGTAATTAAGGTAAAGCCTTGAAGCAGACAGAAGAGAATCTCTTTCAAGGATAGATTTCTTTGACCAACCTTAAAAACGGCCTCTATACTCCAGGAGTTACCATCATTTTTGGCTCTCTGTACCCCTGGAATATTTCATGCAAAATTGAAGGTTCCAATGTGCGACATCTTGATAAGACGAGAAGACCAGTTTGATACTCTGATGAATATCAAATTAATCTAGGGGTCACATAACGGTATATTGTAATAGCTTTGAAGTTTGGTGTCACTCCTTTGTAATCTTCAAAGGGAGCGAATCAGCCTCTAATCAGTCAGTTTTTTCTCCTGAAACCAATGAAATTACTTTGCTTATGCCTTCAAACTTACTGTTGCATATTCCAGGGGTTGCAGAGAGCGAAAGTGATTGTAACCCCTGGAGTATCGAGGGAGCCCTAAAACTTGGCAAGTCAATGGGTCAGACAGTCAAGAATCTCCTTGGATAGAAATTTCTCGATCCTACCCTAATGCCTATTAAAGTTAAAGCCTATGATAAGATAGACAACAATCTCTCCCCCATAAAAAAGATTTCTGTGTCCTACCCTAAAGTTAAAGCCATGGTTTAGATAGACAAGAATCTCTCCCTCAGATAGAGATTTCCTTGTCCAACCCTAAAGTTAAAGCCTTGGATTAGATAGACAAGAATCTCTCCCTCAGATAGAGATTTCCTTGTCCAACCCTAAAGTTAAAGCCTTGGATTAGATAGACAAGAATCTCTTTCTCAGATAGAGATTTCCTTGTCCAACCCTAAAGTTAAAGCCTTATATTAGATAGACAAGAATCTCTTCCACAGATAGAGATTTCCTTGTCCAATCCTAAAGTTAAAAAAAGCCTTGGATTAAAAAGCAACATTCTTTCCCTCAGACATAGATTTCCTTGTCTTAAACGAGGAAAAATATCTTTATAATCTTGACTTTCTCTAGGATACTAACCTGTGAAAATACCACAAAAATATATGCTCTCTTTCTTAATGGCTTCTTGATACACAAACTTCTTAGGGAGGAAGAATGACCTGGTATATTTCTATTTTGATGTTTTACCATGACATTACAGGATGTGGTGAGTTCCCCGACACCAGAATCTGACTACGCTTCAGTTAATGATGCTCTTCCTGATGGTATCCTCCAGAGGGTTCGCTCACAGCAGCGTAAAAGTAAGTCTCTTCCTCAATATTCTTATCTCCTAATTGATAATAATGCACTGAAGTAATGATGGATAGACCCTTTAAGAAGGCTACCATAGTTTGAAGGGTTTTTAACTAACAGAAATGTTATACAATGCAAACCTATTCAAAATAATTTTTCACAAAAATTATTGATTGGTTTATTAAACAGAAGGCAATACAGATTCGGAAGATTCTGAGTTCAGTTCACTGGAGCGTGAGCGAGAAAAGAGTCTGTACACAAAGTGTAACAGGAAACCAACTCCACACAAGAAAAAGACCAAGTCCAAACCCCAGGCTGTCCGTGGAGATCCAATGAACTCTGATCTGGCCAGTCAGTTCCGTCACTTGAGAATACGTGACCGTGATCGAGGTCAGTCACTAATTTGTTATCCACATGTAAGGGTTTTCTGTCTTTGTCCATTATGAGAAGGATGTAGCATCTTGTTTTTGGATTTACTTTGGCTGATTCTTGGGTACTCCTTAACCAGAAATTCATATTTATTTCATGGATGTTCATCAACAAAATAAAATGTCAATGAAATAGGGAGTTTATAGAAAAAAATACATGAAACTTGAGCCCCATGAAAATATATCATTTTACAATACTGGAACATCAGAATCATTGAAGAATTTTTCTCTAGTCTTATAAGTTGTAAGTTTTTAAAGGTAAACAAAATACTATGTACAGATCCTGAAATATACAGTAGTGATTGGATTATTTATTGTAAATTGCGTGTCGTGCCTTTGTAGAACGGAGTAATTCCCCTTCTGATGGAAGTGAGGGCACGGGAGATGAGCTGCAATTAGTTCGCAAGGAGAAGAAACCACCCAAAATTAAAAAGCGTCGGCCACCAGGTGGTAGTGAGAGTAGTGGGCAAGCCTTTAGTCCTCAGCTGTCAGACAGTGACAACCTGGCTGGCTCACCTCCTAGTATGTAAAACTCTTGTCACTTTAGTAGGCTTATGTGAAGTTTTTGTAAATTAAAATTGTGTGAGTAAAATTTGGTTCAAATATGTAGGCAAAAATAAAGCTTTAAAACATAATTTACTCCTAAAGTTTTATAAAAATTGTGTTAATGGATCAATTACGATGAGTTGACTCTCTTCATTTTTGATAACATTTTGCTAAAAGACAGACATCTGTTGTAGGCCATTACAGGGACATAGTATATGGAGAGAGGGAGTTTGCAACCTTGCCTCGGGTAAGTAGATCTTGGATTTTACACCATGGTCTTCAGTATGATAGTCACTCAGAATTATTACCCATCTCTCTGTTGTGTCCTCTTCTCTAGCTGTCCTGTTCCATATTGTCTTGTGTTATCCTGTCCAGTTTCAAATCAGTATCTCTGGACCTGGGATGTTCACTATGAAATAAGGACAGAACTATTTATCTTTCTTAGTGTTTTCTGACAAACTTTGACTAAGTATGAAGGGGTGTATTAATATCTGCAGATCCATTCCAATTTCTGTTTGAGACATTACATTGAAAGAACTGACAAACTAGTTTATTTGCATAAATGTGCAGCCTCCTTGTATTAAAGTTTAAGTTTGTGGGTTGTTTATATTTTTAGGTCATCTGACCGTCATAAACATTTTCAACTTCTTCTCAAGTTCTACACATCTCATTGAGTTGAAACTTACCTGAAATGATCGTGACATGATCCTGACCAAAGTTGTTAATTTCGGGTTGGTCCGAAATCCAACATGGCCGCCTTCTTGAAACCACATTTTCGACTTCATCTCAAGTTCAAAATTTGAAATCTTGTATTTTATGTCAGATGACCGTTACGGCCCATGGGCCTCTTGTTATAGTTGTAGATCACCTGTTATAGTACTTCAGCAATGTGTTTGTAGGCAAAAATATAACAGGAGTTGAATAGGGATTTGGTTTGGAGAAGTATGATATTGTAAAATCTCACTAAAGAATTCTTTTATGAAAGTATATATCAAAAGACTGGGAGTGGGAAGCTCATTTTAAAATGAGAATTGTAACATTTCATCATCTTGTTACATTAAATGGCACATGAAGATAAAATTGTTCTAGTTGAAATAGAACATAATCAAATAGAATTCAAACTCTTTGTTTGTAAAACAAAGTTTACAGTAACAGTGTACTCAGGATTAATGGGACAAATTTGAGCTTCTCAATGTTTTTAGGTCATCTGACCGAAGGGCCTGATGACTTAATGCAATTGCCTTTTATCCGGCACTATCTGTCATCCGTCGTAAACATTTTCAACTTCTTCTCAAGTTCTACATGTCTCATTGAGCTGAAACTTACCTGAAATGATCGTGATATGATCCTGACCAAAGTTTATTAATTTCAGGATGGTCCGAAATCCAACATGGCCGCCACCTTGAAAACACATTTTCGACTTCTTCTCAAGTTCAAAATTTGAAATCTTGTATTTTATGACCGATGACCGTTAAGGCCCATGGGCCTGTTGTATTAATATATTACACTTTTCTCCTGTGTAAACATATTGACTTGGAACACGTAAGATGGATAGAATTATAATAATTTAAAGTTTTTATCACAGGATCGCTTTGGTGGTTTGATGGCAACAAGTATGGACAGTGCCGACCTTGACCTCAATGATAGTGGTAACTGGGCCTCCAAGATGAAAACTTCCAAGAAACAACGCAAGGAACAACAGAAGATAAAGGAGGATGAAAAGAGAAGGAAGAAGGAGGAGGTGAGTTATACTGCTTTCTGTCTTTTCTACGGACAATTTCCAATATCTTATTTAAGGATAAAGGCAGATGCGAGTTATACTGTTTTCTGTCTTTTCTACAGACAATTTCCAATTTCATATTAGAATGTTTTCCTATTGAATTTGACAAAGGATACTCATCATTTTCATATTTATCATGTATGTATGAATTCTAGTTGAGCAATTGTTATTTGGTTATTGCTGAAAATGGGACCCCTTTTGTGTCATTGATTTTTTCTGACATAACAACCAGTAACAGGAAATAAATCACAAATAAATCACACTTAGATCATACTATTTACTGCACAGTATAATTTGCAGTAGTGTTTTTATCACTTGTTTGTGATGAGACATATTTGCCCTATTTTGGAAAGAAAATTGGTGGATTTTTCATGAATTGCAAATACGTGTATTGTAATTCTGAGCCCACCATTAACAGATGATGGCTAATCAAATTGCCCCTTGTCTGTCAATCGTCCATCGCATCGTCCATTGTCCATCTGTCCTTCAACAATTCTTGCTATTGCTATTCCAGAGAATCACTGAATGTCGTCGTTCTTAGTTGTGCTTAGTTCAATTTGGGACTGATTGAGAAAAAAAGATAGCCACCAGGCGACCATCTTGGCTTTTAACAGTCCTAGTTTGTTATTGCTGTTTCTGAAAAAAACATGTGATTGATTGTTCTCAGATTTCAGATACAGGAAAGTGCATACTACATTTTGGCCTGATTTGAATATTCAAGGTGGCTATTTGATATATAGACTGATTTGAAAAACAAATTGTTTGACAGGTGACCATCTTTGATTTGGCAGACCAAGATAATTAAAGCTATTAAAAGGAGTTTACAAATTTTGTAAAATTAAGAGCAAAAACAGAGCAAAGGAGAGAAAAGAAGGGAAAAGAACTTTAAAAGAACCAATAAAGATCAAATTATGATGAGAGCCAAGATCTGTTTAGCTCCATCTACCTTTTCTGATCATTTCTACATGATAGCCCCTTAGATGGTTATTCAAATTGCCCCATGTTCATTTATTGTCAGATTCCTTTAATGATTATTTCTTGAAAAGCACAGATCTTTCCCAACTTTCATACAAAGGTTCTCTTCTATTCTTAGTAGTACTGTTGTAACATGGCTAACAGCAGGCCATCTTAGATTTTGATAATGAGAGCTTATTATTGCTCTTGAGATATTTCTCAAATTTCATGTGAAGGTACTTCTTGATCCTTAATAGTGATCTTTTGATGATGGGACAGATATGAGAGGGGAAAAAAAGCAGTTGAAGGTTGTTTTCACTATTTCTTCAGTAATGCAAGAATATTCCCCGACTTTCTATGAATGTCCCTCTGGTTCCTTTCATTGTAGCATCCATCTTAGATTTTGGTATTTTCAAATTTCATATAATTAAAGAGAAAATAAGAGGAAAGACGAAAAGTACCCAACTTATAAAGAAAAAATAATGATGGTACAGTGGTGATCCTTTGGGATTACCTGTATCAAATTTTATTGAATGATTAGAGCCTATATCACCACCATCATCCTCAAATTAAATTGTTGACTTCTTGACAACAATTGTTACCAGTATTTCTTGATTGTTATGGAAGGATTTACCAACGTTCCTAATCCTCCAATATTAAGAGTCCTGTGTAGGCAAATCACAAGTCAAGCTTTCTCAGGATTTAATTGAATTCTCACTTTCACTATTTCAGCTGACAACTAAAGCCATATATTGCTTGAATTGTTATGAAAATCTATAATCAGGGTTCAGTATTGGTCTAATATTATTTTCATCAAATGATATAAATGTGATTTGGACTTGATTGGATGATAAAGCAGGTTTCCATTTCTTGTTAAAATTGTGTGTCTACTTTAAGGTATGATTTGATCTATCTCAGGAAATTGCTGAATGGATACCATATATAATGACCGTGCATCACTAGCCATTGTTTCTGGTGCCAGAGTATGAATATATAATTAGGACACTAGCTGTATATATATAGGACATTAGCTGTATATATATATATATGTATATATAGGACACTAGCTGTATATATATACATATATATATATGTATATATAGGACACTAGCTGTATATACATATACGTATATGTATATATAGGACACTATCTGTATATAAATATATATATATACATATATATATAATATATAAATATATGCAAGGCACTAGCTACCATTGATGCTGATTTACGGTCAATGGTTTGGAAATAAAATTTGAAGAATTCACCTGACATCTACTATCGAGATTGAATAAAAGAAACATTGAATGATTGAATATCTTATGTTTTAGGTGACCTTCAGAATTTCTGGTTAAAAATTCACTGTTTTATAAAGACTAGCATTTTTTTTAAAATTGGCTGAAGTGTACATTTCTGCTGGATGAGTTAGAGACTTTAATATTCTAATTGATTTAAATGGGTGTTGTGAATTATTTATTAGATTAATGTTTAGGTGATATGAGATTATCATTGTGTAGGTACATAGAGTGGTTGAATTCAAACCAGTCAATACAATGATTAAAGATTTACATTACAGAGTGAAGTTGCAAGCTGTATTTATGTAAGAAATTTATCAAAGATCTGGCTGACATTTTATCACCAGTCATGTATATAATTGATATATAGGTATATGACCTCTACAAAGGACAATAGGATTACCTGCTACATTGTAAATAAATGACAATACATTGTGTACCTGTGCCCAGAACGTAGTTTACTCCTCATTAGCATAAGCAGGTAGTATATATATAATAGATATGTCCAGTGTAGTGTATAATCAATATAGGCCCACCTCTGGTCTCATCCTAATGACTACAACCTCTTTAGTCTTCACTATTTTTATAAATTATATATATATCTTTATTCTGTTAAACTTTAGAATAAATTGCCTTTGAACTTTTGAATCTTTATCAGTAACTTTCAGTGTGTTAAGGATCTGGAAACTGGATTTGTTTACTTGTCACCTATGGCAACCATGAACAATCCAGTTCAACAGGCAGCTTGTACACATAGGTATATAGTCGATTGACTTTGTGAACACCTTAAGCTTTATGCTCGGGTGTCGTCTGCTAGTATTCAGTGTATATAGTGTGTACATTATGGAAATTCCCTAACAGACTGTCAGGATTAGCCATCAGGATTAACCATCAGGATTATCTCTGCTTCATCAGAAATGTAGAGTTTAATTTATGAAGATAAAGAAGTGTCTTTACTGTTTTTGATTTTATATATAAATGATTGCAGTGATTGTCAATGTTATTAGATTACCGGTATATGACTGGATATTTATGTATATCTATATATAGAGACTGTATTTTTTAGTGATTTGAGGAAGTCTGACTGCCAGACCCAGAATTTGTTGGTGTGACTATACTGACATGTGGCTGTGATATGCAGTGTATTGGTCAATGTTTTAGAATACCTTACAGTACAGTTGATGGTGTCAGTACTTTTTACAGTATGATGAACTTGAATGGTGATGAAAGCTTTCAAAGCTTATTCCTTAAAAGGAGGTGTGTTGTATATCATGGGAGTATGGACCTGTGAATAGAAAACTTTAAGGATGTAAATGTTGATGGTTTCTTATCAATTATTTGTTCGTTCTACGAAATTGGTGATCAAATCGGGTGGAGTTCTCAAAAGTCGTAAACTTATTGATATACATGGAATTGTACTTACCGTTTATTTACAAAGCTTTCATCATGTACCCAGATGTATTCTTTGATGTCCAGGTGTAAATATCAGACTGTAATTTATTACTCGTGTTTATTGATTCACTGACAGATAAAGAATTTAGTATTATGAATTGCTTAAGCACCAAGAAGGAAGTTTGTTGCAGATAAAAAACTGTAGGGGCTAGACTGTGAAAAGTATTCAAAACATCTTAAAATTTAGTTTCTTTCAAATATTTGCTAATGCAGACCACGAGCTTATCAAATTTCTGAAATTGTTCAAAGACGAAATTGAATGTTTCATGGATTTTCCGGTTGTAGTTAGAAAAATTATAAATGCAGTTACTACTATTAAGAGTCCATATAGATTCAACTGGTTACTATATATGTGAAGGCCAGGAATGATACTGGTGGTTTGAACTATGTAGTGAAGAAGTCTTTTACTGCAGTGGTTTAGATGTAAAGAATAAATCTTGAATTTGATGTTAGTTCAGAATTCAGTGGTACATCAGTGACAGTAGTGGTATGTATTTTATGTATGTAAACCACCTTCATTATGGAATCTTTTAGGATCAGAAAAGTATTCTGTTGCTTTCATTGAAACATTTTATGATAAAATTTATGTTACAAAGACTGTAGAAAGATTAGGATTATTGATTAAGAAGGAAGTATAGAGATATCCCATGTCCTGATGTCTTCTACATAATAGGGTCAAATTTCTACCTGGCTACAGAAATCAGATGGTGTACAAGTTACAGACTGAATGCTCTTTTCTTTACCTTGTATTCCAAACTATAACAATATATATATTGGGAGTTTGTGACAGGAGTGTTTTTTTTTTTTTTTTATCTGTCTACAGAATTAGTTATATTGTGAGCTTTTGTCAGCACTGGTATTAAGAGAGATTAACCGGGTAGTGTATATACAACTATATTTCCTACAGAATATCATTGTAGAAGATTAAAGGGGTTTTATTTTCTATTTATCTGTAGGAAACTGAGAGGCCAACATCAATAACTGTAAAATAATTTCTAATGGGTCTGTCTTTGTATCAGTTTACTAAGATTCGAGTTGTGTACATGTAATAATATTTTGGTAGCAGTTATTTGGAAGCAATAATCTGAATGTCCTAGATAATTGTTTGGTATTTTTAATGTTATTTTTCAAGAACATTTTGTGATATCAACAAAATGTTACATAGTGTTATTACAAAAGCAGGAACATATATTCATATTGTTGACATTTGATATTTCACCTTAGAAGTGTCCAAGGTACTCAGTAAATTTATAACATTATAAAAATTTGAAGTGTATTTATTTAACTCTCTTAAATTCTAAAGTGCATAATGCTTTACATGTAGAGTGTTGCAAAATTCTAAGCTGAAAATTAATCATAGTAGGCCATTTTCTCCATGATAAATTTTATGGTTCAGAGATTTGAGCTTTAGATCCGGTAAAAAAATTTGAAAAAACAGAAGTCAGTTTAAGTATATGTACTAATTAGATAGAGGATGGTAGTTGGTAGAATGTTCTTTGTAGTAGCTGACTGAATGGGATTTAGTGTCTTTACCTAGCTTGAGTTAAGATACAGGAATTTTGATAAAGATTTATATAGCGCTCAGAATTAAAGGTCTGGTAATATTAATCTTTGGCAGAATAAAGAACAAGGGTTTCTTTAAAAGAAGCTTAAATGTGGATTTGATCATTATTCATTAATGATCAGTTGAATATGGTTTATATACTTGCAGTTTGTAGAATTAAATGTCCAATAGAAGTCAAATTGCTTACTGATTACTAATGAGCTCACAGGAATGTTGTAGTAATGGTCATTTAAGTACACACTTATTCAGAATTAAGACGTTTCCATATTTTCATCCTCCAGGTGAGGATCAGGGCATTATACTTTGTGACTTAAGAGAAACCCAGCAGGCATAGTCAACCATGTTCTTAGTCAACCAGTCCATGTTCACTGACGAAATGTGACCAGCTTAATCTTTTGGTTCATGTTTACTGACTATATGGACTAGCACAATCAGTCTACCATGTTTATGGAGGACATATGATTAACATAGTCCTCCATATGTGTTTGGACATTGGATATGACAAACATAAAGTCTACTAGCTAATATCTGATATGGCTAGAGGATGTTTGATATAAAATAGTAAACTATTCTGGAAACTTTGTTGCTGTTTCATCCTGTGAGGATCATAAATATTATCATTATGGGGTGTAGTGCCTCAGTACAAGTGATGCCCTATTCAACAGTGAAGAAACCAAAAACTGCTGACTCATTGGTGGAATCTGAGGAGGTACATAATTCAAGACCCTGAAAAAATACATGTCATGCCCTTCGACCCTTGTGGATGAATAATTGTGAAAATAGCTAATGATTTGTATTCTGTAGCTAAGAAAACTATCATAGAAAGAAACAAAAGTAAATTGTTTCTTACATTTGAAATATCTTTTGATTGGTGGTATATTTCTTGTAAAAGTTATTGTATACATTGTGTTTATGAATTTTTAACCTCTGACTTACTGTATGAATTTTTAACCTCTGACTTACTGTATGAATTTTTAACCTCTGACTTACTGTATGAATTTTTAACCTCTGACTTATTGTATGAATTTTTAACCCCTGACTTACTGTATGAATTTTTAACCACTGACTTATTGTATGAATTTTTAACCTCTGACTTATTTGTTTTAGGAGAGGAAGCAAAAAGAACAGCAGAAGATACAAAAGAAGAAGAAGAAAGACAGTAGGGGTGCAGGAAATGAGAGTGGATGTCGACTGCAGGAATTCCCTATGTCCTCCGCCAACCCCTCCCTTCCACAGTTTGTGGAGACTTGTGTGGAATATATAGATGCTGAAGGTAACTCTCGTCCTACCCTTACTTACCACTCCTCTAGGTTTATTCCCTAGAAAGGTTATGGGGAAGAACAAAGGACACATGTGAACTTGTAGCATGATGTTTTTTTCTGAAACTATTCTCTCCCTTTATTTGATAGTATTATCATCATTTTGAGAACATAAACTTTATTAGTGCACTAGATTTTGCATCAGTTGAATGAATTATTCATGTAAATGTCCTAGCTTGTCAAATTAACATGAGCTTTAAGGGTTCTTTTTATTGTTGATGAAAATTAAATCATAATGCTTAATTTTGTAATCACACTAGAGAATATTTTTGAATTTTCCATGTTGGTAGCATAACTTGTCAAAAAGGATATAGATGGCCTTGAATATGTGTTATTTCTAAAAATAAGTCACTCATTCCTAGGAAATATGTAGGTTATGGTTCTTGTAAAATCAAATTGTTTTTTTAGGGATACATGATAATTTTCACTCTCATACTGTGAATCATTTGACTCCCTTGGCCCTGTTATGATGTATATATAAAAGATAGAGAGCAAGAGAGGCCAGCCTATGTTACGATTATCTCCCTTTGGCTGATCATGATCTCATCCACGTTTTAAAAACTATACTTACCTTATTTCCAGTGAAAATTGGTCGTAAGTACTATATGATACTAGAAATGTTTTTTTATTGAGTTCTAAACATGCAGCTTATAATTAATGCATGTAAAACTGTTTGTGTTGCTGTGAGCAAAAACAAAGGCCTTGTGGCTTATGTTACCGCTGTGCATCACAATGCATTTTCATGCCCAGGTTATGATATTACATCATCACAGTGTGGAAATGGGTCATCTGACCATATTCATAACATGTCATCACCATGTGACTCTCTGTGAAAGTTTGATCACATGATCATACCTTACCACATGTCATTATAATGAACTTATGTGACTGACAATGTAAGTTAGTCACATGATCATATGGTTATTTTAACATGTCATGTGACTGTGATTGACAATGCAAGTTTGTTCACATGATCATGTTTGATTCAGGTTTTAATCATATAACTATTAATGAAGATATTATACAAACATCTTCCTGACCTTGAGTTTCGTGTGCTGTGTTATATTATCCTTTCCCATGTTATAGGTGGATGGTGGGATTTTACATCATTTGCTGTGTTTAAACACAAATCTTTGACAGTTGACATCAAATTTTAAGAAAAAATCCTTCATAATAATGTTAGAAATGGATTTGTCATCCTTCATAATATGTTCAAACAGCAAAGATCACCATTAGGTATTACAGCTTCTGTATGACCACGTCTTCTTCTACATCACACTCTTAGTGCTGTTTATAAGAAATCTGTTGTGAAACAGCTGCATGTTTTTCTGACAGCTGTAGGGGCATGGTGGGTCTGTAGCTAGTCACAACAGTATCAGACCTCATCACCATGATAATTTGTTCCCTAACTGCATTTTATCTATTCAAATATACTTAAGATATACATTCCTGCAAGAACTGAGAACACCTTTTCTTCATTCCTGTCATCTGATCAAAAGTTTCCATGGAGAAAAAATGTGGCAAAATCTAAAACAAAAAATACTATTTACAGAAACTGCTGTTATAGAAAAAATTTCCTGTAATTTTTTAATCAATGTTTGACCGAAAGAAAAATGTGAGAATTTCTAGGAAAGCAAAGAGACATTTCTCTTTCTGTCACATGTATTAGAAATTCCTTTTAATTTATTCCCTGCCTAATGATAATGCGATGACATCGGTTGAACAGATTCTGAAGGATGACAACCCTCCCCAAATGGTGTGCAAATCTCACAATGGAGTATTATTTCATGTTTTACACATGTACCTATGTTGATTCATCATATGTGATTCATTCTCATCATGTCTTTTGCTACAGTTGATTTAATTTTAATGTTTTGATATGAATTTCTTTCAAAGTTTCAAGTAATCATGGTAGAACAACATCAGGCATTAAAATATTTTGGGGTAATGATTAATTGTACTGTTTAATGTGAACTACAGTGTATAATCATTTCTATAATTGATGCTGTTACAGTGAAACCTACTAAATCTGAAATTGTAGTACTCTAAATAATAGCAAGATTATGACTATTGCTTAATATAATATGACCTTTTTATATACCTCATAAGAAAATCCATGACTACGTAATCAGTATGTAACACCAAGCAACAAAATTTCATTGGTGCTTGACATTCTAATGTGTTTCTATTTTTAGCAACAAATAATTTCCTGAAGAAAGAGGCTTATTTTCAAATGGTAGCCAGATTCTGAAGTTGGGATAGACAGAAATGTGAAATGAAATAGCTTTAGATTGAACTAATCTGATGAGGGGGAAAATGCAATATATAGTTTTGAAGAGTATGGTACATTCGCCAGTAAACAAATTCTCAGTAGAATATTTCTTGAAAGAATACATTCAAAAGATATTATTTAATATTTCTTGAAAGAAGAAATTCCATTGATAGATGTTAAAAATGAAATGTAAGAAAGTTTTTGAATAGTATAAAAAAGACATTTTAGGAAATCTTGAATTTTTACACCTTCTACAAATTAGTCTTCTTAGATTCTACATAAGTAAACATCATACATCACAATAGCAGATGATATCAAGAGTACTGTTAGTCCAGTAGACCTGCATCATAAAGGAAAATGGATTTTAATTGAATGTCTAAGGGAGGTAACCTGACTAATATTTTTATCTTACAGGAATGCACACAGAAGGGATTTACCGTATACCTGGCAATAAACAAAATGTAGATCTGCTCAACTCCAAACTTCAGGAGGGTAAGTGTCTCTACAGGAACTCAATCTTATCATGTTGTAGTAACAAAATGTAGATCTGCTCAACTCCAAACTTCAGGAGGGTAAGTGTCTCTACAGGAACTCAATCTTGTCATGTTGTAGTAACAAAATGTAGATCTGCTCAACTCCAAACTTCAGGAGGGTAAGTGTCTCTACAGGAACTCATTCTTGTCATTTTGTAGTAACAAAAGAATTGAGAGACCCAATATCACTGCATGGTGTTCTTTGGGTGTAGCTCTAGGGATCCAAGAATGGAGTTTGTTGGGTGTAACTGTAGGGATCTAAGGATGGAGTTTGTTGGGTGTAGCTGTAGGGATCCAAGGATGGAGTTTGTTGGGTGTAACTGTAGGGATCCAAGGATGGAGTTTGTTGGGTGTAGCTGTAGGGATCCAAGGATGGAGTTTGTTGGGTGTAGCTGTAGGGATCTAAGGATGGAGTTTGTTGGGTGTAGCTTAAGGGATCCAAGGATAAATAAACTGGATATGTTATACTTACACTAACACAGAGTCTTTTAAGTAGAAACTTCTCAACATATTCTGTGTTATTTACAGATTTGGTTTCTGTATGAGATTCTGGTGTGTAGGTTTTAAATGAATATTAATGTTTATTTGCGAGAATGGAGGCAGACTTCACTACAGCTTGTTTATTTGGTAGTCAGTTTTTACCCACACAACATCAATATGACTGACATTCAAACATTGGCTTCTAATAAAAGGAGTGAAAGCATTCAGTCACTTACCTTTCTTACTATAGTCAGGGAGTCAAGTGAAAGAATTTAAAATGTAAAATGTGATATGACTGCAGCATACGATATACAAAGAACACATGTACATAAAATTCTTTTTGATATGTTACATGTATAATGGCAGCCCTCATGCAAAGTAATGTTACGCATGTGTGAACATAAATACATTTGGATCAGTAAGACTTTTTATAGAATCGGGTTGGATCAGGTATTCTGAATTCAAAAGACATCTGTGTAAGAAATTTATGTAGGTAATATATATTTATTTTTTTCATTGAAAATAGTTAACAATGTTCTATGTTTAACAGTAAAAGTAAGTACATAAACAACATAAAAACATTGCTTTTCCCCGCGATTCTGCCCGATAGGTTAACCGCATATGGATGCCATACTTAATTAGTACTGTTGTTATTGGGCAACACAGTGGAACCTACACCAGATTAAAATGACCAAACAGTTCATTTTCATTTAAAAAAATTTCCAGGTAATATTTATTGATTTTTTTTTTTTAGTTTTCTATATATCAAAGATTACACAATAGACTGCAGTCAACAATATTGCATCTAAGCTTCAGACAAGACTCCAGCAATAGCCAATTTGCCAGTAGTCTTGCATGTTTTGACAACAGCTTTATTCGGGCCCCTTATTGAGATGCAGGTGCCCTATAATAAGCAGCTTGTTTGCCAGTCTGTCCCTTTCTGCTTTCCACCCAATAACTTGTGTATTTGTTGTCAGATTCTCACCGATTCAGTGTGTGGCTTTATACACGACACCAAAAGATGAAAAATGATTAAATGATATAAATGGGACAGAACCTGTTGCTGTGTGCAAATCATATGAACGTGTTACTGCTAATTAACTGACTGCATTCAAATTGGAAGTTAACATAAACTACTTATATGTACATGCTAAAATCTAATGAGAAGTTAACTCGGTTATCAGGTCAGAGGTCAAAGAATAATTTAACTTCTTTATTGGCAAATATTTAGTTATGCCATTTTTAAGCAAAGCTCGCCAGAAGCAAATAATCATAAGTTGTAGATAAAATTTAGTCTAAAGACTGAACATGTCAGTTTAGGGAGTTGCCAGTTGTGTAATCCAGATAACAGAGGATTATATAACTTTAAAGCGAACTTTTACATCTCTCCTTTATATTTATCATTATGTAAAACAGGAGCTTCATTCATTGTATGTACTACATATTATCATATTTCTAAATAAACATGTGATTGTACTTTACAAAAATGTTCATTTACAGTACATCTAGTACTTTGATTCATGATTTTCATGATACTCAGAAGAGGGTGATTCAATATCAGTAGATAGATATGAAGAAGACTATTAAAAAGTAACACACATGAAAATTCTTTCACCACAAACATTTTGGTCATATGCAGATATCATTTATGGCATGTTGCAAACCATTTACATCAAAACAAAATTCTCTTCACTGTTTCAAATGTGATTTAACTGTGTTTCAGGCTGGTAACTGATTCCTATGTTCCTATATTTTCCTATATTTTGGGTCAGAAATCTATATGTTGAAAGACCTATATTCCCTATATTTTCCTATTTTTTGAAAACATATTCCTGAATTTTCAGGAAATTTGTCACTGATAAAGGTAGAGATTGTAAATGTTTCTTTGACACTGCTTTTGTCTTCTTTATTTTACAAGTTAGAGAATTCATAAGTCTTTAACAACATCACCAGCCACTAGAAAATGATTCAGTGCATCTCTCTATCACCTGTATGGGCACCTTGCAAGGCAGTGCAACAGGATATTGGCCTTTTAGGTGCCCGTTCAGATGATGGTGAGCTATGCAGCAGCTCTCTGCCTGGATTGTGATGTTGTTGAAGTGAATGGTTACTTTAAGGTAGTTTTTAATCATTGATTAATATAGAAACAGTAAGTGAAGGTAGGAATTGTTAGTATAAATGCCTCTGAATGAAATGATTTTTGTTTGGAAAACTCCTATATTTTGCCTCAAAACTAGCAAAAAACTCCTATATTTGTTGAAAAAATATACCTATATTCCTCCTATATTTTGAAGACGACTTGGTTGACAGCCTGGTGTTTTGAAGTTTGTAGTTATTGATGTGCTTTCCTGTTTTACAGATCCTAGTCAAGATATAAAAAGCCTGGAGATACAGGTGAATGCTGTGGCAACAGTGTTAAAGAATTTCTTCAATGAGACAGAGCCATTAATTCCCTCCTTCCTGCACGATGAACTCCTCGAGGCAGCAGGTTTGTATTTCTTCTGTAAGACACAATGACTGTAAACAAACTTGTTTATTTCAGTATAGAAATTTTGGTAGCTATTCCTAGCAGTTCATCCTATTCTGTTATTCTCCCTTATATATGAAGATAAGGAATTTTCATAAACTCTGTTTCATTTGGAAGTAAAATTTGCTGACAACTCTGTAAGGGTTTCTTTTATCAAAAAAATATTGAATGAGTTTTGATAAACCCTGTAAACGTTTTATTTTAAAGATTTTGTTAAATTTTGTAACAGTTCGCTATATTTAAAAAGTAGCATATTTTATCAATAAGATAGAAACACATTGTCAGATATGATAGTCCTATATTAAGAGACTGTTCTATTTTGGATCGATGGTAATAACCATCGCCTTCTTTGTAAGATCCTTACCATTTTCTAATCATTTTAATTTCATTTAAATAGAGTTAACTTTCCAAGTCAGTTTTCGGAAGCTGTTGAGTAGATTATGACATTTGATTTAACTTCCAGTCTTAGGTGAGGAAAATGTGGAGAATTTCTGTCCAAGCTAATAAATACTATTGACCTTGTTAGCTATTGTCACTCAGCAACTATGAGAATTAGGTTCTTCATTTAGATGTATCTGTTTCATCTGATTTGTGTGGTACCTATATGTCATATTTGGCGCCAAGTGACAATACAGTTAAAATGATGTCATATTCAAGTTAAAATGATGTCATATTCATTTGTCTTTCTGATACCTAACCACACAGGGAGGTAATGTTAATGACCAGAGAATTATGGAACTTGTTGAGAAATATTTTGACACAATAATGTACAAGAGAATGAATCTAGTAACCACTTATGTTGGAAATCAATTGATCCTGGTCAATTGCTCACATTCTGAAACATCTCATCCAAGACAAAGTTTAGGATGAGATTTTGTTAAGGAATGTCTACCCTTGATTTAGATAAATCAATTTCCAACACATACAGGTAACAGATTCTTTTAGTCTCCTCATGTGTAAGAGTTGATTTGCCTCTTTGTGGTTCGATGCTGAACTGTTATGATTTTGGCTTTGGCAGAGAAATTTGAGGACGACCCACAAGAAGGTAACTGACTCACCGTGGCATGATTGCCACTCACTGTGTTCCTTTTCTGTATCTTCTCAGAAAATGCCCTGTCTCTGGTACTTCACTGTAGTATACAAAAGTTTGTCTTACAGACAGTATTGTGCCAGAGAGAGGCAAGGGGAGATGACTCTTGGCTTCCTTGTTTGATTCTCTGCACCCTTTGAGTTCATATTAGCCTGAGATTGTGCTGTGTACTTCATTAACATTATAACCTATGTCCATATCTAGTTCTTTGGAACTCTCACTATTGAGCTTTCTTGTGTGCTTGACGTGAGAGTAATATATTTACAAAATAAGAAGTTTTCTTAATTTGCGAAGCCATTGTCTCTATTTTTTTGGATAATGTTTGAATGTAATCTTAAGGTATTTCTCTGGCATCTTGATCTTAGATGTAAATTTACTGTTATACATTATCCAAGACAATTTATCTTCAAAGGATCGAGTTGTTATTGTATGAAGTGTTCTTAAATCATATCAATTTTCTTTGTAAACCTTATTTTCTGCTTGATATGTACTTTTCTAAAGTGGATAATCTTTGATGATGGCAACTTGATACTGTTAGCTGTTTTTATACTCCTTGATAAATTGTGTATTGAAAAAATACTTGTTTGTGGTGATGATAATTATTGCAGTGCCAATTCAAAATAAAAATACTAAACACTAAAATTTGAGATCTCTTAAGTGGTGTCAAACAGTAGAAGAGATAATGAAAAGCTGTAGGTAACGTACATCATGGTGAGGTTATGTGATGTAAGTCAGTAACATTACTTTTAGTCCACTCTGTGATAAGTAGAGGCATTGTCAGGCATACACATGTGTAGAAAGCAAAGGAAGGCGAATTTGTGAGATTTAAAACATTGGTGTTCAAATTTCATGAATTTTTACATTACAAGTGACATATTTCTACTGGATTTTTACATCTAAACGGATAGATTTCTGTGATATATATTTTACAATTAATAGATTTTTAAGACTTTTATTCTAAAATTGATGGTTTTCACCTAAACATTTACATGAAGATTAATGGATTTTTGCACTAAACATTTATCATCGTTTTGATTATTTAAAAAAAAGTTACTTTAGTTTTCTTAATGCTAGTGCATATTTAATAGCAAAAATTCATTTATTGACATGTTAAGTTTATTTTGTGAAGAACTGGGTTTCTATGGAATTTTTTAGGTATAGTGGCATATTGGACATATTTGGATATTTTATTCAGGAGTGCACTACATTTATGTAATTTAGAGGTATAATGCTATAATTCACTGAAGATTTGATAAAAACCTTTCAAAATTTTATTCTTCAGTATTTATTTTACTTTTTACTTGAATGAGACCGAAACTTAAGTCATATTTCACATTATTAAAAGTAAATTTTGTTCTCTCTCTCTTCAAAGCTTCATTTTGATTTGAGTCTGAAGTTGTCTGTTGTTATACTTCAATTTTTTGCATTTGATGTTTTATGCACTTACTTAAGGCCTAAAAACAAACCCTGAATCTCTGACTTCATAAAAATTTACCAGTTATTCAGATTCCACCCTCTGATCTGAGATAATGTGTTCAATAGTTCTGTCCCCAATCTCAGATAACATCCACAGTTCTATCCATGATAATGTATACAGTTCTATCCCTTATCTGAGATAATGTGAAGAGTCCTACCCCACATATGTTGACAGTAGTCTTGAAAAACACTTTGTAAAGTACATATAGGGAAATCCATGAAAATTTCTTCTTTAGATGGAAAAAAAATGAACAGGTGATATTTTCAGCCTACCATCATTTGATGTTGAGCTGTTCAAATCGCCCTATGTCCATGGTCTGTGATCCTTCGGTCCCTGTGTCTATAAACAAGTTTTTATCGCTATTTACTGTGAAGTTCTTGATGGATCTCTCAGATTTCATATGTTTGTTCCCCTTGGCCCCTAGTTGTGCCTGTTATGTTTTCGGGACTTTGCAGAAAACAAAATGGCTGAGAGGGGGCCATCTTGTATTTGGCAGTTAAAAATCGTGAATGCTATTTCTGCCAAGAATTGTTCAAAGTTTGTGTCATTAATAGTAAAAGCTAAGGAAAGAAAAGAAGTGAAAAGATAAACTTTTTAAAGAACAAATTAAGGTCAAACAATGGTTGGTGCCAAGATCCCTTGTTTATAATAAAGCTTATTAGAGGTAGAAAAAATTGTACAAAGGGTTTATCATGCACTAGACACCAGCTACGGAGATGAGAATATATATGATACTGCAAAAAACTTGAATAAGGGGTTTGGATATTTATTAAGGAATAGGTCTGAATACCTATAGTCTGGTCCATCATGGATTACTGTCAATATAATTTTAGTTAGCTTCAGGGAGATGTAATGAAAAAGTTTCATAGAGACTAAAGTCACATTTGTTTGGTTCCTTTAACATGTATATAACCTGATGTCTATTTTTTTCAGAAATGCCAACAGGAAGACTTCTAGCCCTGAGGGGAGTCCTGAAAAAGCTGCACCCAGTCAATTTTGAAGTGTTAAAGTACTTCATCACACATCTGAATAGGTAATTGTGGCTTTTGAAATGTAGATGTTGTTGCATTTCTACCATCCACTTATTTACTGTAACATAAAATTTTGATATACAATGTAATTGTTTTGACATGTCATGTGGTTTTTGTTATCACAAATCAAGTTAAATTATTGCATATGCTGACCAAATGATATAACTTGACGTAATTAATTTGGCCAAATGTCACCTTCATTCTACAAAAAAGAATTACTAGTTGCAAATATTATCTCAAAATGCTGTGTTACTTAAAAAAAACCTGAAATAACCAGATATGAGAAGGATGCCACCATAGCATGGATTTACGAATTATATTTAATTTCTATGTATCACTTACCTGGCCTATGTCAAAGATATTCAAATGTGATTTTCATCAGGTAGATCGTGATATTTTACCTAACTTCATCCATCTGAGAAAGGCATTTACACGCCTTTAGAGAAAATATATACTGCTTTGTACCTTAAATCAGCATAATCTCTGTTTTGATTGATAAATAATGACAAAGTGAAAATTAATTGATATGCTTATTTTGTACATATGAATACTGTGTTACAGAGTGAGCCAACATAAAGATACACACAACATGGATACAAGAAACTTAGCTCTTTGTTTATGGCCCACTATTCTTCGTATAGACTTCATGTCATATGACAAAATGGCAACCGGCACCAAACTGCCAGCGGAGATTATACAGACGTTGATAGAGCAATGTGGATTCTTCTTCCATGGTGAGGACGAAGTCTGACAGGAAAGGACTTGCTACTCTAATTTACACAGGAATTGAGACATTTTTGACAGGGAGTTATCAGTATTTCTGTGTTACACAGGAAAGAAGAAGGGAGAAGTCATTATTCACTTGATAGATATTTGAAAGCTGCAGAGTGACAGAGTATTTGTGTGTAACATGGTTGAGTGTACTGGTATGTTAGAAGGTTGCAAAAACCTTCATATGAGGAAGACTACCGCCGTGGAGAAATAAGCTAGTCAGGAGGTTCACATTTGTGTTTTCAGTGATGAAGTGTGAGACTGGTCCATCTAAATACTGATCAGATGGCAATCAGCAACCAGTCACAAGTCAACGGTCAAGGTGTAATGCAAGTCCTCTGTCAGTGGTCAACACAGCTGTTGCCTCAAGTCCATTCTAAGTGGATATGGACAATGTCATCAACTAGATCATTGATACCGAGGACAATACTGACAGAGTATAACCATTACTACCTTGGACCCTGATTCAGACTGGTGATTTCATATTTTAACTTATAAAATTGTAAAAACAAAAGATTAAGTACATACTTATCTTTGATTGTATTTAAGGAATGTATGCTGCTAGATGCGTGTTCCTGTATGAAGCAACTAGATATGAATTTCTGTGGAAGTCCTATAGCAGTGTGCTGCAGTGTAATGTAATCTGTCGCAAAACCATGCCAAGTTTAATCATAAAATACCATTAAATATTTGTAATTATTAATCAACTTGCTTTGAAAATTACACAATGTTTGCTGTAATGTTTAATATTCTGTTTTTAATTTAAATATTGTCAAGGGAAGCAACTCTTGCAAGATGTGAAGTTTGAACTATTTATAGATATACTGTATTGTAATGCAATGTATTAGTTAGACTGCACTTAATTGACCATGGGACAAATCTGACACCAAAGATTGCTAATTATGAGTTGTAACAGTTTGATGCCCATATAATCATTTCAATCCCAAAAGAAATTAATGTAATATTGTTTTTGTGTTTTGTACATGTTGAAAAATCAAAGAGTTTGCTCAAGACAGTCTTTGTATATTAACATTCTTGAGGATGTGACTGAAAAAAGGAAAATCCCAACAATCTTTTTATATGATTTAAAAGTTTATTGAAATATACATGAAAAATGTATTCAGTGGATGCTTAAGAGAGAATTGAAATTTACATTAACATTAGATTTTTACTTCTGAAATCTGGGAGGAATCTTATAAAAGTTTTAAGATGATATAAGGTTTATACATGTGCTGAAGCTTTGGCTATGGGCTACAACAGTAGGCTGGGGTTGTTTGGCATAACAATGGGTAAGTATTGAATGTATTTGTCAACAAGTCGTCTTTTTGGTCACTAACTCATTAGAATGTCAATACACAATGCATATGTTGACAAGCATTGTATGAATGGTATGTTAGGTTTTGGCTGCTGAAATTCTAAAATCTGTTCAAAAAATTGCCAAGCTAGTCAAAAGTGAAAAGAAATGTACAGAGATTCTAAAAAAATCTCCAACTAAATCAATCATTACAACGGTGTCCAGTATTCTACTGCCTGGTCAAGTGGTCAAGTGGATCAGGGCGCCTGGCAGCTAGTCATTTATAATGTTTTTGTAGTGTGTATCTGATTGTTGGCCCGTCTTGGCCAGATTGCTGTATGTGGTATGTGTTTGGCCTGGGAGCCTCTTTATTGATATATATAAACTGACTGACAAGTCAACTGAATGACTGAAGTACTTACGTCAACAACTGATGTGGTGTGATTGTGACATCACCATATAATGTGATTCCGATGAAGACTTCATAACTTTATAGTGTGTTTCAGATGGGACATACATCACCATGTGTTGTGTTTCTGATGGCACATATACCATGTGTTGTGTTTCTGATGGCACATATACCATGTGTTGTGTTTCTGATGTGATGGCACATATACCATGTGTTGTGTTTCTGATGGCACATATACCATGTGATGTGTTTCAGATGGAACATATACCATGTGTTGTGTTTCAGATGGTAACTATATTACCATGTGTTGTGTTTCTGATGGGACATACATCACTATGTGTTGTGTTTATGATGGGTCATACATTACCATGTGTTGTGTTTCTGATGGCACAAATACCATGTGTTGTGTTTCTGATGGCACATATACCATGTGTTGTGTTTCTGATGGCACATATACCATGTGTTGTGTTTCAGATGGGACATATGCCATGTGTTGTGTTTCTGATGGTAACTATATTACCATGTGTTGTGTTTCTGATGGGACATACATCATTATGTGTTGTGTGTCTGATGGGACATACATCACCATGTGTTGTGTTTCAGATGGGACATACATCACCATGCGTTGTGTTTCAGATGGGACATACATCACCATGTGTTGTGTTTCAGATGGGACATACATCACCATGTGATGTGTTTCTAAGGGAGACTGCATCACCATGTTGTGTGCTTCTGATGGAGACTACATCACCATGTTGTGTGTTTCTGATGCAGACTACATCACCATGTGGTGTGCTTCTGAAGCAGTTTTATTTTGTCCGATTGGAGTAGCACCATACTCTATTTATGACAGGCCACAGCAGAATGTGATTGGTCACTGATCAAGCCAAAGTGCTAGGAGAACTCCTCCAAGGTCAGGTGTGAATGTTAACTTAGTAATGTGAGCCTAATAGGATAATTAATTAATTGCTTAAATATTCATGCATAATATATATAAATCTATATATATAATATGGTAACATTTCAAATTGTTAGTTAATGTCAGTTGTGTTATCAAAATTGTACATTAAATGGTGTATGATCCTTCTTTATGTTAACCTATATTTTACGCTCGTATGGTGCGTATGTCTGGAGTCAGGTGGTGTTTGTGTTGGATCTCGTATAGTGTGTATATCTTGGGACAGGTGGTGTTTGTGTAGTATCTTGTATGGTGCGTATATCTGGGGTAAGATGGTGTTTGTGTTGGATTTTGTATGGTGCGTATATCTGGGGTAAGATGGTGTTTGTGTTGGATTTTGTATGGTGCGTATATCAGGGGTCAGGTGGTGTTTGTGTAGGATCTCGTATGGTGCGTGTATTTGGGGTCAGGTGGTGTTTGTATAGGATCTCGTATGGTACATGTATCTGGGGTCAGGTGGTGTTTGTGTTGGATCTCGTAAGGTGCGTATATCTGGGGTCAGATGGTGTTTGTGTTGGATCTCGTATGGTGCGTATATCAGGAGTCAGGTGATGTTTGTGTAAGATCTGGACCCTCTATCCATTGTTAGATATGACATACTGCCACATTTACTGTGGGGATAATCATATAAAACATGTGGAACCAAAGACCTGGTATGAGGAGTGGGTGTAAAACTTTCTGTGGACCATTTCATCTGCTTTAATGGATCATGGACCATATATTGATGACAAGATGTATAAGATTCTGATAGATTTGTTGTGATATAGGTATTTATATCTGTGTTGTATGAGGAAGTTGCACAGAGTTGTGTTGTGTAACCCAGAAGAGTTGTACAGAGTTGTGTTGTGTAACCCAGAAGAGTTGTACAGAGTTGTGTTTAGTGAGTAAAAGAAGTTGTAGAGTTGCAAGGGGTGAGGAACGAAGATTATACAGAGTTGTGTTGTGTGAGGGAGATAGTATGTATAAATTTGTGTTGTGGCAGGGAGAGAGTATGCACAGAGTTTTGTTGTGTTGGGGCAGGAGGTTGTAAAGAGATGAGTTGTTTGGGGGAGAGAGGTTTTAAACAGTTGTGATTGTTTAAGGGGAAGATGTTACACGTTGTATTGTATAGTGAGAGAGGTTGTACACTGTTGTACAAGAGACAGTTGTCCTATTCTTTTCTTTATTGTGACATGTTAGTGTGAGGAGGTTGTGCTTCACTTTGTTAGGGAGAGAATTTATGTTATATATACTATACCAATTTTAATGAGATTTGGTGCCATACCATTTTATGTGAGAAAGATAAATTAATTACTAAATTTGTTAAGTACTGTTTTTGATGTGAACATTTGTACTGCACCATGTTGATGCAAAAGAGCTGTACAGATAGCTTCACCATGTGCGATAATTATGTTGATAGTTGTGTGGTTTTTGGCCTTTGAAGCCCTGTGTCCAGTGTGTAATCCAAGTGCTTTCTTGTCATATAGAGTCAAATAACACCACTCAACCGCAAGGTAGAGGGATGATTTTAATGGCCGTTTCATAATTTAAGCTTTTTACATTATAACTAGGTACACCATAACTATGAACCACTATTTGGACAAGTTGCTGCTTGATTGTGTGATGTTGTACTATTTAGGTCAGACATTGTACAGGGGCGTTTATATTAGTTACACGTAAGTCATCACTCACATCTTATATAATATCAAGTTTATCTAAATACTGAAACAGAAAATAACATTTGGAAGTAGAATATCAGTATAATGAAACTGAGTTGTCTCCCCTTTATGTTGTATATGGTTACACTGCAGCAGTACAACACACAGGAGGTTTCTATTTTTGCTGTGTATACATAGTTCCACTTGCCAATGCTGTCAGGTTACCAATAATCCATTAGATATATATAATGTACTACATGATGGGACTCTACTGATATCTTCACATGTCATTCAATAAGATTCTATAATGTAATACCATCCCCTACTGTAATCCATAGATTAACATGCTATGATATAATCTACAACATAGAATTCAATTTGCATCCTACTGGATTAGTGTAGTGGATGTAATGTGATACTTAACTTATAGACTTATGTAAGCCAAATCATGAGATACTTATCAGTGATAAAATCCATGTCACAGGATATTCAATTGTAACGGAAGTTAACAAACTGGGATTTCTGCATTAACTGCTACTTAATATAATCTACATAGTGAGATACTTTATTGAAATTTAATCCACATAATTGTATATGTTACTTTAATTTACATTATGAGCTACTTGATTGAATCCTTATTCAAATGAACATATGGTTCACTTTAAATTTGATCCACAATAGGGAACACTGAACTACTGTAATCCACATGAAGAAGTACCTAACTTAAAGTTTAATCCATGATAGGGAATATGTTACTTCTATAATCCAGGTCATGAATATGTTACTACCCTAATCCAATCCAGGGAATACAGCTCCTATCCATGGGATTGGATATTTGGCTACAGTAATGCATGTCAGGGGATACTTCACTGCAGTAATCCATCTCATGGGATACTTTAGTGGTGTAATCCACACCATTGGCTACTTTAGTGGTGTAATCCACGCCATTGGCTACTTTAGTGGTGTAATCCATGTCATGGGCTACTTAAGTGGTGTAATCCACGCCATGGGATACTTTACGACTGTAATCCACATCATGGGCTACTCAACCACTATAATTCAAACTTATTATAACTTAAATGGATACTTATCTCTGTAATCAACATTATTCAATACTTTAATTTTAATATCCTTGTCATTGGATACTTTAAATCAAGAGAAACTATATTTATACTCAGTGTGGTCTATTACACTATAATCCAGACATAAGTAGATTTGTCATACGATGAACCCACTTTGTTCTTCTTCTATTTGTATTGTTAACTTACACTTGTGTAACTAAATATTAAGATGTTGACCAGCACAAGTCCCCGACAACCATGTACATGTCGAGGAGTTTGTCCTATCCACACATATTCGCTATAGAGCAAGGGCGGAGTGGCTCAATTTGTCTGTTTGTATGTGCTTGATAAAGGCATATAACTCGATTGATTTATTAAAATGTCATACAAAACCATCAAAATTTGTTCAGGTTGTTGTTTTAAAGAACTGCTTGTGTGTGTGAACATTGTCTGCAGATGGTTCCACACTGCAATTCGGACCTGTACTTTATCCAAGATGACCAACATGGCCACCATCATGAAAATCTTGTTCTGTTCCCTAAATCAAGTGAGGGGGATGTGGTTTTCACTCAGTTTCTTAGTATTATTATCATTACTCATATTTCCGTCAGCAAGGATTCTGATATGTTTCTCAAAAACTGATATGGATTTTAATGAAACTTAACATAACTGTTCATCTCTGAGAGTCTGTGTGCTAGAGCTTATTGTTTTTTCGATCTGTCGTCCAACTGGTCAGTTGCTGCCTTAGAGAGGCAATAAACGTGAGGAAATTTGAGTATTCTTAATTTCATTCATATTCGGTTTATAATGATATTGCAAACAATTACATGGATTCCGTTTTCCAACTAGACAACATGGCAGTCATGTTCTGAAATCTGATTAGTCGAAATTGAAAAATTGTCCAATTTCCATGAAAATGGGTATTTAGGTGTGCTTTGACACCGGAAACAACATCTTTTCTGATTAGCATGGAGTCATCTGATTGATAAAAAATTTGGATATCGTCCGATTTCCTAGACAATTGGTGCCAAATTTACAATTGTTGATTTGCCACCATATCGAAAAATCTCGTTAATGCCTTTATTGAAAAGTCATATCAACATATAACAGGAATTTCTCTGATGAGTAATGAACATGTGGACTTCTTCAGTTGGGTCCTAATTGATGGACTGTATAAAAATACAAAGTGGACAGCAAATTTGGATTCAGCCAAATCAGAAATTAAGTATATCTGTCTCAGCCTTCTAGGACTCATAAGCGATTCTTTAAGACTTAAAAGAAAAGAAATTCCAAAGTGCACATAGGAAAGGTTTGACCAACGTCACATTACAGAAGACTGCCATGACAAGCACCAATAAGCATAGACTGATCCAAGCGTCTCTAAAAACGTGACTCGACTGCCACTCGCACCTAAGTATGAGACGCGCGGGAAACTGCTGGGTGTTTAATATCTTTTGGTTCAGAGAACATCTTTTAACTGCAGAACCTCCCCTTACCAGCTCTTAGGGACCTAATATATAGATTTAAGTCTCTGTCGTCAGTAGGGGCCACTTGGAAAGTGTTCAATGACTGGATCTTTGGCGCAAAACCCGGGTTTTTTTTTAGCTAAATATTTGACTACCTACTAAGTAATAAATTCTGTGTCAAAAATTGGAACTACACAATATTTCAATTAAGGCTTTGTGATTGGATAAACACATAAAGCCTCAGTGAAATTCTCCATTACAATTAACAACCTCGCTACTGAAATTCTCTGTTAAAATCAGCATCCTCGGTTAGGACAAACTTATGAAGCCTTACTGAAATTCTCTGTTACAATCAGCATCCTCGGTTAGGACAAACTATTGAAGCCTTTAAACTGCTGTTTCTGTCCATACTTTGATACTTTGTAGCTACTGTTTGATTGGAGATGTTCTTTATGTTGTATTTATCTTTATCTGACAGCGGTTTTCCTATGAAAGCAGCAACATCAAAGCTGACAGATCCAGATAGTAAGGCATTGGACAAGGGATCATGTCTTTCTCGTTATGAATCAACCTCTTAATATCCTGATCCAGACACTTACAATGCAATATATGTGTGAATTTAAACATCATTGAAATCTTTCTCTGCTCAGTTTTCACTGACAACGATGACAAATCCCACTATATCACGTACATTGTACCTACCAAATAGATTATTTCATCTCTAGAATTATGTTTACACAAGACATGGGCTAAAATAATGTGGGTATTTTAAAGATCTCCAAAGAGTTTTTGACCAATATGCAACACCTGTTCTAAAACGTTTCTTATATAAGAACGTTTGATTTTCCCACTTTGTAAATTCTGAATTCAAAGAACTCTTCCGACACCTTGCTATGAGAGTTTACTTTTTCCAAGAAAGATGATTGACGGTACAGATATATGATTTTGAAGTATGCTGAAGCGTATCTAGTGAAAATACGCCCAAATGATAGCAACAATAAACGGAAGACGAAATCATAAAAACTTATCAGGTTCCTGGTTGACATCTTGTAAAAGACAACTGGCATATCTATGGAAACTAACTGTGCCCCTTCCTCTGTTGACTGACTTGTTTTTGTGTTCGTAGATGACTAAACTTATCTGAAAGCTTATCAAAACAGATAACAAAATCCTTGTAAATTCCTTTAATTTATTTTCAGATATATTGATGACATCTTGTTTTTGAAAACGAGATTTGTCGACCACGTCCATTATATATACCCACCAGAATTGTAAATCAAAGCCACGACAGACTCTTCTACATCAGCCGTTCTTCTCGATCTTTTCCCACAACAAAACCAACCGGCACAGCTTTCCAACATGCGCCATGACAAGCATGATAATTTCAATTTCTCTATTGTGAATTTTCCGTTTATGAAACACCCATTTACCCCAACTTATAGTATTAACATGTCATAGTTGTTTCGATATTTAATGAGTTGTTTACAGTATCCCGTTTTGTTGCAAGATTTATTCAACTACCGGACAACAGGGTTTCAAGAGATGCAGACTATTCAAAATTATGGGGAAGTTTTATGGTCGTCAGAGAGATCTCATTTAGAAATATTCTATTTCTTTGTGCGCTAGGAACATGAATGTGTTTAATACTCGTAAGCTGCCTGTTGGTTGCTGTATACAATGTTTTCATTTGAGAAAATTACTTACTTGAATTGTCCAATATTTACATGGTTAGATGTCGGCAATGAAGCAAAAGACAGTTACACTTCCGGAACATCTGGTCTTATTCTCCTTATGTTTTTTAGTTGACTTCCTGTAAAGTTTTATTTTGTTCATATTTCGCCCTAGTTTTATATTTAATTTGAGTAGTATATTTTTTTGTTGACATGTTTGTATTTGTTTTAATGTGCAGTCAAGTCCCAAGGAATTCATTACTAAGTCCGTGCGTCTCCATGGTACTTAAATTACTCGTTGTAAAAATATTGGTGATTTATTTCGTTTTTATTTTTATAAATAATGGCTGTAGTGTTGTTGATTGTGATGGATGCAAGCCGTGTGCCTTCTTATATCCTTGAAAAAATATCTAATAAAGAATAACCAAATGTTCCTAAACAATAAACTGTGTAACAATATATAGGAATACTACCAACTTTAATAACCATTTATGTGAAGGTAGATATAAATAATATGGTGTGAGTGAATTTAAACATTCACCTCTGACTTATTTTGTGCCATAAAAACTCAAAAAGAAGACGCGCTTGTTTTCTTTAATCTTAATGTAGCTTTAGTGATGTAAGAAACTACATGCTTATTATCAGAACAGTTTTTTTGTTTTTGAGTTTATAGAGTATACTCAAAGGTGTTAACCAGGAAGAAAGTTTGAGTCCTTCTCTATCCGATCTAAATAATCTCCCTAGCCTAGTTATAAATGACCCATTTAAGTTTTGCTATTAGATGTTTGATGATGGTCTTCTTTTCCTGTTACAACACTTGCTTGTTTATAATGGTATCTTTCCACTTACCTGGAGAAATCTAAATTCATGATCTTTCAGCCAGTCAACAAAACAATAAACAAGTATAAAATTCCGAACTAGAATTTGCTCAAACAACGTACCAACTTATCATGTAAATGTTAGCTATGCAGTTGGCAAACACATACCCTCTTTAAAGAGTCTAATACTACATTAAAATTGTTCGCACAATTCAATACTTGTTATCGTTTCGCTGGTTTAATACTGAAATATAATTATGAAATATGGTGTATAGATCTCAATCAACAGTTGCTGGATATCAAATCAGAAACAAAAATCTTAGAACAAGTACACCGAAACTTTTGTCAACAAGTTTTGGGAGTTGGACGAAAAGCAATTAACTTTGTACCGAAAGGGGGAGATAAGGCAATATCCTGTCCACTTATATACAAACTTCCTGTCAAAGAAGCTTTAACTTTGATTTTTAAAAAAACTTTCATTATATCAACATTTATTGCAGATGTTTTCATTAATGAAGCTGCTAGAACCAAGAAGAGCTAAATCAGGACAAACGTCTATTGTACAACTAATTTCGTTCTTTTAGAAAAAAAATGGTGAAACATCGAGGAATTGATATTTTTCATATGTCAATCACTACATTTGTTAATACTTTTTTAAAATTAATCTCGTTGTGTTTGAGAATGGTAGCCAGTTCAACTTTTGAAAACGAATTTTTTAAATAATAAGATTCATTTTTACTGAATGTTAAGTTCAATTGCTTGTTAAATTTTATTTTGTTCTGTGGTGAAAGTTATGCAGAAAAGAACGCTCGTAATAAATTTACAAGACTAATGTCAATCAAAGATGGAAATATTCATAATTTCCCTATGTCGGTTACATGACAAATGAAACAAAATGTACACATTTTGATTATCTTTCAAGCTGACTTTTTGATTTATTCGAACGTAATGTAATTATCAGAACTACCAATATCTACTGACAAATTTTATATAAGGCTTTTCAAACCGTGTATGAAAGTAGCCAAATCTAATCGGCAGGTTGACCTTTTGAACCACTTTGGTCTATTCCGAAGGCCGTAACACTACATTTTCGTTTATTATCTTAACATTACACTATGTTAGATCAGTGTAAGTTATGTGTACCATGGCGCTGACGGAACACCAATTCTTGATAGTCCAAATGGCGCTGGGAAGACTATCTGTAAGTTCAATATATATAAGTTATTAATAGAAGTATGCATGCTGTTTTGTATCCCTCACTTGTTAAAAGGGCAACGCTTGTTTTTTCATTTGGCACTGCTAGGAACATAATAACTGTTTTGTATCCCGCAGATGCTGAAATGTGTTTGCTATTATCATATCAAAATTACAACGTTTTGTCATTTGTTCATTTCTTTTACATTTTTTATTCTATTTTTTCTGTCAATGGTGATGTATGTATGTGAAATCAGTGTCCATCACTGCAGCAGTCGTGTGGAAGAGGCAAAATACTTTATTTAAAATCATTTTGACAGGAAACGTAGAAATGTAGTTCTTTTCTTACGATTTTTAAAATCAATTTTAAAATAATACACAGTAAACATATCTATCTTCGTATTGGGGACATCAATACAAAGCATGATCGTGATTGATGTATATCACACAGTTATATTAGAGAAAGCACAAAGGGGTCGAGTTAACGAAGAATGCGATATCTGTATATGATGACATAGTGCCAAGTGATGAAAAATGATTTACACAATATCACTGACTCTAATGTGCATTAACAGAAGCCACGAGGTAAGGAAACACGGGATATAACATTGATAGTTTTAAAGTTGAAAACTGCACAAAAACAACAAAGAAAAAAACCAACAGTCAACAGAATATTAATTCAAACTCAAATTCAATGAAACTAGGACAAACTATGAAAAGAAAGATTTACGTGCAGATTCCTGAAAAAGTGTTGAAAACAGAACTTGTATTCAGTTTTCTTGCTAAATGTTGTATCAATGTAATAACTTAAACGTATTAATGTGTTGTACACTTTTTTGTATGAACTTCTTATATACCTACCAGAATCATCAAGGACACGTCTGACTCTTTCATATCAACCGCTTTCCTTGATCTTTTCCTACAATAAATTTGGCAGTTTTCTGCCAAGCAATATGATAAAGGTGATGATATCAATTTCCGAAATGAGAATTTATCATTTCTGGATAGCAAGAACTCTGCATATCAAATTTATGGTGTTTACATGTCAGTTTGATTCGATATTTAAAGGTTTGTTCCGAATATTATGATTTTTGTCCAAAACGTGGACAAATGACAAATGCATGTTGATGAAAATTATGGGGGAGATTTACAGTTGTCATAGAGATCTCATTAAGAGGCTGCACGTGTTAAATGCTGATAAGTATGCTGGTTAGTTTCTTTGTTAAATACTTTGTTCTCATATGTTAACATACATTACTAATTTATATTGATCAAGATTTACATGGCAAGTGTCGTCGATGAAACAAAAACCAGTTACTCTTCCGGAACACCTGGATTTATTCGCCTTTTTGTTTTTTCTCCAAGAGTCTTCATGTAAATATTTCTGTTGTCTTTTTCACCCTTTTAAGTTTGGGATTATGATTTTGTCAACATGTTGGTATTTTCTTCGTTGTTTCATGACAGGGCATCAGGTACCCTAATTAATAAATAATTAATAAATTATTTTAACTTATCTACACCTTCGAATGTAACTGTTTACTGACAACGAAGAACTACATATGTGTGTGTGTGTGTGTATGTGTGTGTGTGTTTAACTAGAAAGTGACATTATTACCTCCCCTACTGTTACTACTGATTACGTCATAATGTCGACGAACCATTGGCTATTATCTGATACATCAAAGTGATTTCTTACATATAATACAATACACATAACATTTTGAAAAGAGGAAGGTGTTATTTTAGGAACAATACCTCACGGTGCTGCTGGATTCGAACAGAAGAATTACCTAGACTGGAGGGATCCGATACCAAACGATTGACGTATCTGTTGCTTACCGAGTTCACACTTTAAATATCAACTTCATATTTCAGTAGATGAAGGATTGGTATCTGCCGTTATGTCCACACGAGTCCGGTTCCAAATGATAGGAAGCATCACGTTTGTATGTCTCGTCTGGCTGGCCATATCTTCACAAAACGTTAGTAGAGGAATTTTTCACTCAATCCTTGGCTACCCACAAGGGAACAACCACGACACTGATAAAACCGCCATTTATAGCTACACTTCGAATGAAGACAAAGATACAGTACCACACCAATCTGCAATGATTCCATACATTCAAGGTAATATAAACATCAGATTTGTTACGTACTCGACAACCTCATCCGAACTTATGTCCACCGTTGTCGTACAGTCGACGTAAGGTAAAGTCTCTTGTATGTTAGTCATGTTGATGATTGTGGTTTCTTTAGTTTAGTTTACCAAATGAGCTACAAATATACGTCAAATCTCTGATAAATATTTGGCAAAGTTACTTTAATAACAATTCATTCTTGAATTATTAAGAGATAGATCCTTTTTTCCATTATAAATAGATGGTAAAATCGGTTCTATTAATCTACACACAAATTACTAGGAATAAATGGTTACGTTGCGTTTCTATGCTTTTATCTACAGTAGCAATAGTCCCCTACACACATGTATTCTTACAAAGTTGTACAATTCTGTAACATTAATCTGTTACTGACAAATCGCTATGACGTTATAGCAATGTGCAAAAGGCAGATTTGGTTCTTTCGGAGTTTTTTTTCTGAATTTTTGCTTTCCAAGTACTGATTAGATAAACAGCAGTACGATAAACGAAAAGGTATTGGGCTGCAGTACATGCATAAATCTTTTTATTGCACTCAATACGTAGCCACAAAGCTGTCAGATCACAAATCAATGTGGTGACACAATTCACTTGTTATCAGTTGAACATATTACCAATCGCATGCGCTATGTCCCGGTGAGATTAGAAAAGATCACTTTTAAAAAAAATCTGTCGTTGGCATAGCTCGATCTACAGATACAAATACATTTGTAAAAAAATTGTGCCAATTGACTGAACTCGTAGTATACTAATTAGACATCCCAGGGTCTCCTCAGAATATACGCGTGTAAATAATCATTTTTCAAAAAATAAAACATTGATTAAATTGCGGAATGTGTGCACCTCCCAAATTACATCTTTGCATTTATTTCGATCAATATTTGTCTTGTTTAAGCGTGTCCTACATTTGGAACTTCAGACCTCACTGCCTTAATGATATATCAGTAGATATGGACCCGTCAAATAGTATTGATTGAATCACGTTAGCTATAATCAACCTGCATGTTTAATTCAATATTTCGAGAAGTATATATATATTATATATGTAGTTATATAAATGGCGTAGAAATGCTGAAATATCACAAATACTAATCTTACACTAAAAGAAAAACATGTTTGAGATGGCTTATATTTTCAGTTTACTTTAAACACAGTGATAGATTTGGACACTTTTTTTAAACAATATCATAAACTCTCTGCTATGACATATACATCAACGAACAAAGCGCACATGGAACGAAAGGTGCAAAATGTATGTGGAAATGTCTTTCCGCCATTATCGTTTGAATGTCAAATAAGGCACGAGACGCTCATTTCCCTTACTTTATATAGGGCCAAATGCAAGCATTTATGCGTAGTGATTTCTTATAAATTAATCCTTCATTACATTATCTAATTAATCAAGTGTTATTTTGTAACGTATTAAAGGAATTATTTTTAACTCAATCTTATCATCTGACAAATACACGCATTAATGGTAAGTTGGTAAAATAGATTTTTTCTTTCATAAAAGCGGGAAACTGAATGGTATTCCAATCAAAGCTTAATATCTCGAACTTCTAGTGTATAAATAGAACAATTTAAGACACGATCTTTTTCGAAAGTATTTCTCTAGATTCGGGCGGGGCTATCGACAATATTGACGAAAGAAATAATAATAATTTAGAGAACGGCTGTTTTAATTTTGCAAGGATGATATTTAATTTTCATTTACCATATCCAAAATAATTAGAAAATGTTTTGTGTGATTCTTGTGAGATGGCTTTTTCGAATCTTCATGAACATGGAATTTATTTCATTTCCGACGTTGAAGATAGGAAAAATGCATTAGTAATAAGAAGTCTAAAAATTGGTGTTGTAATATCCTAGCTGATCCTTCAGGGATTTATGACATTTAACTTTGCTACAGCTTACTATATACTAGAGTATACGTTTTCACTCATGAGATTTGGGGTGATATCGTTTTTCATTTTGACAATAACAGCAGCTCCCTTCTTTTTCATCTGTCTAAGAGTTTCCCACGAATCGTGTCCATGGATGTGGAAGTGCGATAATGATTATTGTGTTATTTAGTATTATGCTCTCCAGAAAAAGGGGCATTTAAACCTGTATTTTATATTCGATAAAGATAAATGAACGAATCAATGAACTTTGTACAGCTGTTTTGTCCTTCTGGGATTTCTAAATGACACTACATCATACAGCTGTTTTGTCCTTCTAGGATTTCTAAGTGACACTACATCATACAGCTGTTTTGTCCTTCTAGGATTTCTAAGTGACACTACATCATACAGCTGTTTTGTCCTGGGATTTCTAAGTGACACTACATCATACAACTGTTTTGTCCTTCTGGGATTTCTAAGTGACACTACATCATACAACTGTTTTGTCCTTCTAGGATTTCTAAGTGACACTACATCATACAACTGTTTTGTCCTTCTGGGATTTCTAAGTGACACTACATCATAAACTGTTTTGTCCATCTAAGAGTTGTTAGTGACACTATATCATTGAACTGTTTAAAAACAAGAAAATATGATATGCAAATTACTGCCTTTTGATTTATGCGACTATTTGAAGCCCATAAGCATAGTCTGCTACATGGATTTTCAAAAGGATTGTATTAAAAACACACAAGTGAATCGTGCGCTTTAAGACAATATATATATATAATAAGGGAACCCAATCATGCATGTCCATGACGTTTCCTTCTTATAGTTAATCATTCTGTCTTTTTCAGCGAAGGCTTTACAAGAGCTACCGTTTTGTTCTTCAAGTGAAATCAGGAACGAATGGAATTTTACATGCAAAGTGCAATGTCCAGATCCACATTTCGCAACTGCTGTCACCAAACTCCAACCCAAGTTTCAAATTACATGTGATACACTTTTGGACACCGATGAATCACCGGAAGTGAGTGAAGTTCCCATGTTTAATTTCACGGATCAATGCTTTAGAGATGAACTCTATAAACTATGTTCAGACGACGAACCTGTACCAAACATTGTGCATTATGTTTTTTTTGGTATATATGAACTTACTTTTTTCCACTTTCTTAGTATTTGGAGTACCCATATCATACAAAAGCCGTGTGCTATCCTGATACATGGTAACACATTAGTATCCGGTCCACTCTGGGACCGTCTCGTAAAAGCTGCAACAAATCTTATCCGTGTGAGGAGAGCGCCACCTAGTGACATATTTGGGAATACGATACATTTGATTGAACACAAGGCAGATGTAGCAAGATTGGAGGCCGTCCGAGGTACGCCAATTCAATTATTTCATTCTTGGAATGTTTGTCAGTGATGAACTAAACATGTTTGATGCTCGTTACTTTTCCTGTTTGTTTTGTTGTTCTATACTTTGTTTTCATAAATTAGAATGTGACATTACTTAACTTGGATGGACCAAGTTTTACATGGTGGGTGTCACATGGTGGGTGTCATAGACGAAGCGGATGATGCTCACTCTTCCGGGACACATGGTCTTATTCTGCCTATACTTTTTTCAGATGTCTCTATGTGAATGTTCATATATTGAATTTGGATCATGATTATGTTCACATGTTGATAACAGACTATACACCTTAGCTGTTACCCATAATTTTATGTTAAAATACTACTTCGAAACAGCAATATAGTATTTGTCTCTGCTCTCAATAAGATAGCTCACTGCCACATCTGAAAGAACCGAGAAATTTATACTGAAATATCACAAGAAAACTGTTCATTCCTTTTCAGTTCCAAACAGAGCAGATAATTATGTTAAGAATTAATATGAAATCTTATGTCAAATATTTGCCTGCCTTGAGGACTTAATTTGCATATCTGAACTAATCTAAGAATGGATCTACTACAAGGAAATTGTGCAAGCATTTCTCTGTATACCTAGGTAGTACAGGAGGAGGCCATAGCTTTAATTGAGTTGATTCCAAATAGAATGATTGGACATAACTCGACGTGGATTGAAAATAGCTCCAAATCAATAAGACCTACTGATATATTTCAAGGATTAGTAAGTTCACAGGTGATCAAAACAATGGCCATGAATTAGATAGTAAATATTTATCAATTATCTACCTTAACTATAATTACTGCAATAAATTAATCATGTTGATCCGTATCAATAATGATACATTTTGAAAAATAGTTTTGGAACTCTCTCCTCTTTTTTAATTTTACTTTACCTTACGTTTGAATTTTCATACTAAATATCACATGTTGTCTTTATTTCTCAATCTATTTATCTTAATTGATTAAAATTACATCATTCAATCACATGACGTCAAAATAACGCAATCTCAGATCTTGTGTTGTATAAATTAATTTCTTCATCACCACGACAAACTGTAACAGGAATAATAGAAAACAAATAACTGAATGAAATTACTGTTTTTATATTTGACAGATTTTGGAGGAATTTACATGGATTCAGACGAAATATTACTACGACCTCTTGACCCACTGAGGAAATATGATTTCACATTGAGCCATGCGTATGATTACAATCTCAGTAACGGTCTTATTATGTCCAGCCGGAATGCTTCGTTCGTGAATATCTGGTATTCAGAATATGGCACGTATGATGGAGAAGTATGGGGGCATCACTCTACCATTGTGCCTTTTGAACTCTCGCAAAAACATCCACACCTTATTCATGTCGAGAACAAGACTTTTGTGAATCCAGATTTTGAACATGTTGATTTGATATTCGAGGAAAATTTTGACTGGAGAAATAACTATGCTATTCATCTATTCATTCGGAAATATGAATTAGAGCACAACTTTACAGATATCAGACATCTAAACACTACGATGGGTTCCGTGGCTAGACATGTTTTATACGGCTGTAAAGATATTTGTTCTGATTAATTACAGAATTAGTATGACATTGTAATTAATAATTAATGTGGGTGTTATTTCTCCTGTTAGTCCATCAACAATTACAGAAAAAATTACCAGGTAATCCACCTGTTGAAAATTCAGTGATTCAACAATGTTATATGTCACCTTTGTAACATATCATGCAGTTTTTCGTTGGTTTCGTCAGTCAGAAATTGATTGTGATGACATAATGTGGACAACAACGACAAGTCATGACCTGAAAAATGACACAACAAAATGACTGTCTCCGTTTGATATTATCCTCCACATTCTTACTTTAAATTTGTCAAGATGTAACTTTTTGTTTTCCGTGTTGTGTGATAAAACTGACGCAAAGAATATATATTAACAACGAATCCATTCACCTGATAGTGCCAAAGACCATTGGACCATGTTTATCAAAAGGGCTGTTGATAATTATCTGAAAACACAAATCAGACATATTTTGGTAGATGAATGACTGACGAGTCCACCAGCCTTTATAATCAGGTAAAACTACTATAGCGATGGTGTATTAAACGATATAAGTATAACCTGTAAAATTATTGTGTAATCAATTAAAAACATAAACACGTTTGAACGGGAGCTCACATAGATATCCCCCAGTTCCGATATTCTATAGAAACTTTTTAATTGAAAAGTGGCAAAACAGTGGCCATCGGCCTTTAACCTTGAACACTGACATCGTGAAAAATAATCAAACGAAGACCTTTGTGGGTGGTGCTATAGCGTAACTATAAACTAAATTTCCGTGGGTTTATGAAATTGAGATATCTTGTATATAAGATTATCACGAATTAATTCACGCAAGCACGCACACATGCACACAAGCACGTACCGACGCAAGGACGAACAAATTCTATGATGACTATATACCCCCTTATGTAAATGGGGTTGGAGGTTCCTAAAACCGTAAATGACGCTTGGAATATGGGAACATTAATTGTGACATTTAGTTTCCTAACTATTCACTATAATAGACCAATCATTTAAAACAGTGTCAAAGAGGGACACGCTCTGAGTTCAGCATAATAGCACATATTGGATACATCTTTTGAAAAAATAAAATTTCTGAATATTGAAATACAAATCACATGACACTAAATATAACTAGCGAAAGACTTACGAGAAATATTTCGAAAATGTCTGGGAGTTTCAAAACAAATGTTCGACACAAAGAGATAAAAATACCAAGCTTAATGATAAGGCTGTGACGAGAGCACAGGAAAACGAACACAACGAATGATGTTAATAGTGTTTAGTATAACAGATAAACCTTCAACAAACAAACGTCTTCTTTTCCGAAATCCCCCATTCTCTACCTTGTCCCAACACCCTCTTTCCGAAAGTTCTCATTCTCTACCTTGTCCCAACACCCTCTTTTCCGAAAGCTCTCATTCTCTACCTTGTCCCAACACCCTCTTTTCCGAAAGCTCTCATTCTCTACCATGTCCCAACACCCTCTTTCTTCCGAAATCCCTCATTCTCTACCCTGTCCCAACACTTTCTTTTCAAAAGGTCTCATTTTCTACCTTGTCCCAACACTTTCTTTTCAAAAGGTCTCATTTTCTACCTTGTCCCAACACCTTTTTTCAAAAGGTTTCATTTTCTGCCTTTTATTTTTTTTTTTTTTGTTTTGTTTTGTTTTTTTTTGTTTTTTGTTGTTGTAATGCATATTTTTATATTTCTTTTGATTCACACATAATTAGCTTGTTACAAATTTGAAAAAAAAACACATATATCCACAGATATAATATTTCTAGTTACAGATGTTTGTATAGTATAACGAAATGTTATTGATTTAATAAATTGTTCATTGGTTGCCATTTTGTAATTATTTCAGGATACTTATTTGAGCTGTAATACCTGTATGAAGTTATTTCAATTTTTCTGTTACAAATAGAAAGAAGAGAAAAATTACATCTACATATATATATGTAGCGTCTTATTATCAGAAAACAACAATTAAGCAAATTATTATTATTATTGGTTTTACATCCAAACATGGCATCCATTTTGTCAATTCCATATTCAATGTTACATCTCACCTTGATTAAATCTGAAAATTTCCTCCAAATAACATTTACGTGAATGCATTGCTACATTAGATGATACAAATCTTCATCTTCATAATTACAAAAGGTAAAATTCGTGTTATCATTTATACCGAATTTATATAAAAGTGTATTAGTACATAATGTTCTATGAAAAATTTTGAATTGAAAATTTCTTAGATTTACATCTTGTGTACAACTCCTTGGTATATATATATTTCCAATATATTTCTAGGTTTTGCAGATCTTGAGACCACTTTTCAATTGCTTTTTGATTTATAGAAAGAACAGAGGAACAAAATTTTGAATAGAAAATTCTAGTAGGTTTGACAAGAGATTTTATATGTCTAATATTATTAGTTTCTCGCACCGTATTGTTACCATGGCGCCTGATTGACCTTTTCCATGCACCCGGGATGACGGAAATAATGCCATAAAACTGCATCCTTTGACTTTATGGTATATTAAAGCGTTCTTGTAAATTTTGAAAAGTCATCACTTTACCATCATTTAGAATAAGATCTGCTATCTGGTTGATGCCACTATCTTGCCATGACTGAAAATATACTATTTTGTTACCTATTTTTATATTATGATTAAACCATATTGGTTGGGACAAAAAATACTCTGCTGTTCCAAATTTTGTTCACTCCAAGCCAAAAATACTTCTTTCCAGAAAAGATTAAATTTATTAGTGATTTTAAGCATTTCATTTTTTTACATATGAGAGAATGTTTAAATTTCCATATATACCCAATTGATCTAACAGAAGTAGTTTCCAAGGGGATGTGTTTTGAGGATCAATTAATTTCTTGATCCAGGTCATTTTCAAAGATTTAATTAAACTTTCAATATCAGTCATATTAAGACCACCATTCTCATAACTGTTTCTTAGTGTTCCTCTCCTGATTTTATCGTTTTTGTAGTTCCATATCAAGTTAAAGCATTTCTGTTCTACTTGCTGGAGTATGTGGCAGGGAGGCTTTAGTAAAACTGTAAATAATTGCACATGTATTGGAATTGCCAGTGATTTGATAACAGTGATTTTTTCACTCAGGGTAACATTTCTAAAAGACCAGTTCTTTAGAACTCGCTTGACTTCAATTAATTTTTCTTCATAATTTACAAAGGTTGTATCCATTTTACTCAGGTCGTATTTGATACCGAGAACTTTAAACTTTCCAACTAAATTCCACTTCAAATCTCTTTGAGTAAGCAATTTTTCCTGACTGCCCTTTCTGCTGCCTATCCAAATAGCTTCGGTTTTGTCATAATTGGCTTTCAAGCCAGCACAATTTCCAAACGAATCTAAAATATCTAAAGCTGATTTTAAAGAAATTTCTTCATCTTTTAGACATATTGCAGAGTCGTCAGCGTATTGACTCGACAGGATCTCTGTATCACCTATCTTAATACCCTTTATATCTGGTGAAAAAGCAGCACTTAAAACTTCTATTACAAGAATGAATAGATACGGAGAGAGGGGATCTCCTTGACGAACTCCTCTTTTGATAGGGAAAAATATGAACAGAATCCGTTGTTGATGACGCAGCTAGTGACGTCATTGTACAGAAGTTCTACCCATGACTTTATATTATTACCAAAGCCAAAGAAATCAAGAGTATTATGAAGAAACTTCCATTCCACTGTATCGAAAGCCTTTTCGAAATCTATTAATAATAAAATTCCTGGACTATTTTTTTCATTTATTTTCTCAATTAGATCATAAATCAGTCGCGTGCATTCGCCAATGTATCTGCCTTTCAAAATTCCTTTCTGAGTATCGCTTATAATATAGTTAAGTACTCGCTTTAATCTATTTGCTAGTACAGTAGTTATGATTTTATAATCAACGTTTAACAACGAAATTGGGCGCCAGTTTTTAAGAAACTCTTTTTGTTTGTTTGGCTTTGGTAGACAGGTTATTACACCTTGTTTTTGTGTAACTGATAGTTGTTTATTTTCAAAACCATACTTAATTGATAATATATTTAAGATCTTTCCAGAAGAATTTATAGAATTCAACTGTGAATCCATCTAAACCTGGAGACTTGCAATTTTTCATACTGAACAGAGCCTTTGCACATTCTGTTTCCGTGACGTCACTATCACAAAGCATTTTTTCTTCATTAGAAAGTATACAGATAAAAGGATTGTCATTACAGAAGAACATATTTGTTTCTTCATCAGTTATAACAGGATTTGTTGAATTATATAATTTTTCGTAAAAAAGTTTTTGCTTTTCTAAAATGTCATTAATATTATGTATTTCTGAACTATCATCACGGACAACCTTTGCAATCATTTTTTCTGTAAAATTTCTTTTTTCCAGATGACAAAAATATTTCGTACATTTTTCACCTTCCATGTTCCACCTAGCTTTTGCTCTGACCATCAGTCCTCGTACCCTTTCCTCTCTCATATTGTTAAGTTCATTTTCTTTCGTTTCCAAAATTGTAGATGTTTCTTGATTTTCATAATTGAACGAATTTCGCTGCAATTCTAAAATTTCTGATTCTAGTTTCGAAGCTGTTTCATTCGTTTGCTTATCTTTCCAACTAGCATAGGAAATGTTTTTTCCTCTAATTGAAAGCTTAATGACTTCCCAAAGCAGCTGATAATTTATTGTTAAATCTATATTATCTAAATTATTGTCTACTATATCATCAATTGCATAATCATTAAGTACCTCATAAATAACAATTTTAACATTATTGGTATATGTTTTGTCATAAAGCAATGAATTCTTGAACTTCCAGGTCCCTCGTCCTCTTGGATGATCATATAATTTTAATTTAATTATAACAGGTGCATGGTCCGATTTATATTTTAGACCTATGTCAGATGAAATGATACAGGACTGAAGGTCAGACGATATAAGAAAATAGTCAAGGCGGCTGCCTTTTCCACCTGATCAAAACCAACTATATCTTT